TCGGCACATTTTCTTTTATATCTTAGAAATATAAGTTAAAGGCCTAATTAAAGTACTACATTTTTTTTCTTTAACATGTATAGTGTGTTTAGCACTCTCTTATCTGAAATTCAAAATGCTTAAATGTATATATGCATGGATTGACAAAGAATCAATCTTACGAGAGCATGGTTTGTAAAGTTAAAGAATAATAGATCATATTTGCAACAACAAAACTGATAGATAACAACTGATTCCTCGATTAAAAGAGACAAAGAAATGATAGATCAACAAGAAAATAGAAAAACATAGTTAGGTATACGATTTATTTAGATGCAAGATATGCTGGTTCATATTATATACACACAAGTGTTTAACGCATGCATGTGTATAACTATAATCTAGCCTATGTCTTAATAGTGAATGGATCCCTAGAAAATAAGGGATCGTATCTAGATCGATTAATAATCAATATATAAATTAATATTATACTTAAGAATGTAGGTAGCTAGATAGGAGCAGGTCCACAATTAGAGTATGTATACACAGATACAATACTATATTCTTCACTAATGGATTCCTTAATTATTGGTAATGGAGAAAATTTATTTCTTTTCAACATTACAATAAGCCTCTTGAAGAATTGAAGTATTGAGTCCTTACAATATTGGGCGTTCCAACCACTATACCGGTCCACCACTGATGGAGTATACACTGTTCTAGACGGTTTATACAGTAATTTAATTAAGTAGAGAATATTGCCAATAAAGGTTATTACATCGATTGAATCGATAAAATAATACTTAGTAAATCAATTATAAACAGGCTGAGAGTCTGAGATACACTAGAGGTTCTAGCAGACATGTAAACTGTTATTATTTTTTATGAAAGACGAACACTCTTTGTTTTTTTTTTTTTTTTTTGATCAAAACGAACAATTTTTTTGTTGATGTATATCTTGCTTATATAAATTAATCTGTCAAAGAAATTTAAATGAATGTGAGACTGCTATTGTTGATGTATTTATTATAAAACAATTTAAGAACCAAAAAAAATGAGTAAGGTTTGCTTGATCTTATAAAACATGAATTTTATCACCATTTACTTAGTGTTTTTAGAGGTCTTCGATGATTTAAGTTGAAAGTGATCCTACTATCTTATATGTGTGTTTGTGAATGGTAATTTTCTTTCCACAACTGATTTACAATGAAATTATTTACTATCAATATACTGATAATTTATTGTATTTCGAAGTGACGAAATTGTCATTTTAAATATCTCATAAATATTTGATAAACACATCATATAGATATTTACGTTCCAATTTTTCATTGCCAATCAACTCAAATATTTTTATTGAGCAAATAGATTTTCTCAAATGTTGGAAGGGCCGGGTAGTTTAGAAGGTCTAGTTGTGTGGAGACAAAAAAGAAAAACAAACCAAAGTCTATAGTGTTTTTATTCTTTATATTTTGCATTCGGTTTAATCAAATTGGTTTAGTAGAGATGTACACGTCCATTAATCTACTATGCAATCTATTTTTTGGTATATATATATTTTTTTTTAAAACAAGGGCTGTTTTCCTCCTAATTAAAAAAAAAAAACGAAATCACTCGTTTTATGCATACAAAAATCCAAAAGGATTTGTCAATTTCTTTAACAAGAAAAACAAAATTGTACTAATGCAAAAGGAATGAATAAAAATAAATAATGAGAAGTGTAAACCATTAAGCAGACAAGATGTAATTAAAAAATGTAATATTATATGTAACCCACCTTCATCTTCACCTTTTCCATGTTTATAAAATCTCTCTCCTTAAAGCTATACTCAAGGTTAGATCAAAACCTAATTACAATAGCAATAAACACACAATTAATCACAAAATTAAATTCGACCTTTAAAATCAAGAATCGTCACAACACCATCATCATCATGAGTAGCTCCAGCTCTAGCTCTGGCTCTCCTTGTGGTGCTTGTAAGTTCCTTAGGAGGAAATGTGCAAAGGGATGTGTGTTTGCTCCATACTTTTGTCATGAACAAGGAGCTTCACACTTTGCAGCCATCCACAAGGTCTTTGGAGCTAGCAATGCTTCTAAGTTGCTCTCTCATCTTCCCATCAGCGATCGCTGTGAAGCCGCTATTACAATCTCTTATGAAGCTCAAGCTAGGCTTCAAGATCCCATCTATGGCTGCGTTTCTCATATCTTTGCTCTCCAGCAACAGGTACCTTTCAAAACCCTACTCATGATACTTTCACAAAACTATATCTACATAAATATATTTATTCTCTAGCTATACAAATATTTCGGCAATGAAATTTTTGTAATTAATTAGTTATTTTTGTTGGGTTATAGGTTGTGAATTTACAAGCAGAACTTGAGATTCTAAAGCAACAAGCAACACAAAGCATGATTTTTGCTGATTCACCAACATCAGAAAACCCTAATAGTTACTATGGAGACACTACTAAGGCTCCTTATCATCATGATCATCAAAATATTTATCATCATCAAGATCAGAGCCATTTGGTTTACCAAACCGGAAGTTCAGGGACGGTTCAACACGGGGATGCCACAGAGAGTAGTTACCACAACGAAACCTCCTCAGGCATAGGAGAATTCTCCATCTACTCTGACTTGGAACAACACTTGAACACTTTCAATCAAGATCATCTCAAAGAGCTGCAATCAGCAAGTTTTGGCTACATCTCCTTCTCGTGATATGGTTCTATCAAGACATGGGTTGATTCTTATCAATATCCGATCTATATACAATATATATAGCTTATATATAATGTTTGAAGATTTTTTGATGTTTTTTAGTCTCGATTGATGATGATGCCTAGCTCAAAGAACCGGTGTTGTATTCATAAATAAAAAGTACTAGATGCCCTAGAAATATATAAAGATATATATACATCCTCAAGATCTTTTAATGTATATTTCGATAAAATCAAGTTTTTCCTCTCCATATCGTCACAACTTTTATCACGATCTTGATGAAACAGCACAAATTCCTAGCTAGCTCGCTAAACCCTGTCTGTCCTGCTGATTCTTTAGATTCTGCTAGTACGTACAGTCTAGTACACCCGACCTGGTTGTGGAATTTCCCTCAATATTGGAGAAAGTCGATAGTGGATCATTTTTAAGTAAATTATGATCTTGGATATTTTTTTTTCTTTTTTTTTGTTACATGGTCGAAAATTTACAGTCTTGGGCTGTTGGGCAAATGGAAAATTCAAGTTAAGCACCACAAGCTCTTAATTAATTACATTAGCCAGTTCAGATTCTTTTTTCTTTCAAACGAAATGTGTTCTTGAAATGTTTAAACATAAAGAGGTAAGTACATTTTAAGAGATCCATCGTAGATTTGTCTACTTCTATTTAAACGCTAAAAATATCACTGGATATATATGAGATACATACTTCTTATTTTGTAGGTATGGATCGAATTTAGGGTTCATCTACATGATCACATAATTCACTAAACCCAAACATACTATATTATAATTAATATATTTTTTTTGTTATATGAAAAGTAGTACAGTACATATGAGCATACAATCCACTTAACAACTAGTTTGAACTACTTGACAGAAAAAATTGAATCTAAAGTACAACCCCCAATTTATTATTTTGCCACATCTTTTTATATATCAACTAGGTTTAAAATATCACTGGAAAGTGTTTTATCGGTAGTAGATTTATAAGACAAAAAAAAAAGAAAGAAAATGCAATATAAATATTAAAATATGTATGTGAGTGTTTCTTTTTTTTGTTTTTATGTGGTCTAGCTACCTAATATGGCAATATTTTTTTGATGGCAATATCTGTAAGCTAACTCACCGTATTTAAAAGAATCATGTGGTCTCAGTGAGTTAAGTCCATACCGTACGAATAGACTATAGAGTAGAAAAACATTAAGCCCATTAGGGACATATATGTACAATTGGACTTTTCTTCTCTAGGCCCAGTAACATTAGAGGTTATTTTGAGTGTAAAGTTTTTCTCCCATGTAAAAAAGACTACAAAATTTAATTTAATTTGATTTTTTTTTTGTCAACAACTTTATTAAATTAGCTTAAAATAGCCAATTCTGAAAGATATTGTTTACATAGGTAATAAGATGCGGTTGGGTAATTTAATTTGATCATAGAGGCTTATTTCGTAGGTTTTTTAAAAATAAGTTTATTTCGTAATTAATATTTAAAATAAGAAATAAGATAAAAATAATAATTTTATCTCAAAAAACATGTGCGGGTCTCTCACGGTTAAAGCCGCTGAGCGTGTAAAACTGTAAATAGAGTTCGATCGCACGTGAGAGTTTTTACACGGTCAAAGCCTTTTGGCTTTGGTTCTACTTAAGAAACTAAAGGGCCCGCGTACGTCGATTCCAGCCGTTTCGCTACTCTTTTGCTCTTCTTCTTCTTCTTCCTCTTTTTGGTCAAACTCTCCTTACTTCCTTTTGTTAATAACTTATAACTTCTTTTGAAAACACAAAGCAATAACCGAGAAAAGGACAAGAAGTCGTGTTCCATTGGTGTCACTAATCAGTTGCGAAATTCGATGACTAATCAACTAGAGAAGCTTCTAGGTGGGAAATTCCAAATTGGATTAGATGAGACTAATCAAAGTTAGCATAAGCAAAACCAATGAAGTGATTTAAAGATAATTAAAGCATTTAGAAGTGACAAAGAACAAAGTAGTTAAGTTGCATCCTGTTTAGGGGACATTATGTCTAAAATACCAATAATTAAGACACTTCTTTACTACAGTTTTTGTTTTAATAAAGATTCTTAAAACTTCTTAATTATAGTTAGGTAAACATGTTCAATCTTTAGCACAGTACTATAGCTTTGAATTAAAGTGTGGTCCTCTTATTGTTAAAACTTAGACATGAGCAAAGATCATTAACATTCATTCCTGGGATGTGTTATTTTCTATGTATGTCTTACTCTTCTTATATAGGAGTATAATAGTTTGAATCTAAAGAAACGGTTAAAAAACAAGAAAATAAAACACAAAAGGGTTCTCTTTCTTCAACAATGAAAAGCTTCCATACCATCAGACAATGTATAATCTTAACCTTAAACACAATGAAGAGAGTTATCTATAATCGTACATAATGAGATGTTAAAGTAGCAGTTTCTTCTCTCACTATAAAAAATGTTTGCTTTCTGCTAAAGTTTGCTTGCCTTTGTCGGTAAATGTTTAACGAAGAATGGTTGAGATTCTTAAGCATTCTTAGTGAACAAGCGGGTCTTGCGTGAAAAAGAACTGCAAAAATGTTTTGATATGGGTCACTACAGATTCCTCAGATATATATAGGGTAAGAGTTTGAGATCAATGTATTTTTACCTCAAACGATTTCCCGGAATTTTCAAATTCCAACATACTCAATGCTACTTCACAGCTTTGTGCAACAATTGGCTCAGGGTCCCTTGAAAATTCTTCTAGCAAAGCAATGCTCTGCTCATCTGAAAAGGGCCGAGCAATGTGAAGAGTAAGTAAAGACTAAAGACAGTAGATTGTTGTAGTCTCAAGCTATGCATTTTAGGGAAGGTACCTGCAATAGAACCAAGCGCTTCTGCAGCCTCATGTCTAACCATTGGGTGCTCATTCACATCTCTCAGTACTTTGCTTAGAGTAGCTAAAGCAGTTTTATTTTGCAATTGGCCTAAGACATAAGCAACCTAAGAAAAATTGCATTAATTATAAGGCAGCACTTATACAGTCTAAGGTTGGAGAACAATAAAGCAAAGGTTCAAGGTGGAAGATCTTAACAAAACTCGACTTTTTAAGTTCATGAACATCTTTGAAGCGTAAATTCTCACTAGGAAACAATGATCAAACTGAATGTCATTAAATAAAGGAAACTTGACAAACCTCGTGACGTAGAAGGGCACTATTAGCACTCAAAGAATCAACTATGGCAGTAACAGCTTCCTCTCCACCATGATTCCTTAGAGCGAAAAGTGCAGCATATCTCTCATACATGCCTCTTGTTTCATCCAAAAGAATTTGCCTGTATTTGGGTGATCTTAATCAATAATCAGTTACCAAATGGTAAATAATCTAGAGTAATTTGAGTTGGTCAAGAGTGGAAGAACCTCAGTTGGTGGACAGAAGAGAAAGAAGCAGCTGGGCCTGCTGGGTCAACAGACATGAAAGGTGATTTCTCTGCGGTTGATGACTGGTTCTCGGCATCAACATTACTCAACTCTTCAATCCTTTTGAGAGCTAATTCACATGTTTCGCGAACCTCTTGAGCTGGATCCGAACTCAAGCTTTTCTTTAAAATGTCAACATTACCCGCCAAACCAATAGCTCCAAGGGCTTCTGCTGCCTGTTATATTAACAGCAAATGAGTGATTTGAAAAGACCAAAAAGCTTATACTGATACAGAGAATCTGAGACAAGGATCAACTAATACTCAACTCATGTCGTACAATTGGATGCAAAGACATATCATTAAGAACGGACTCAAGAGCAGGAATGGCTTCAGCATCTTGCATCTGACCCAATGCAAATGCAGCTTCATGTGCTAACAAATTAGATGAGTCTCTGGATGCTGCAGGACAAGGAAAAAAAGGATAAACCTGAAGTTAATGCCAGCGCCATGATCAATAGAAAGAAATATTCCCTACTAAAACTAAACAAAACACGCTCTTGCTCTAAAGAAACCAGAAGTTTCCACATTCATAAAGTGCCAACATTTTTCCCAAAGTAACAATTTTTTTTCTAGTACATATGGAATTCAAATAAGAAAGAGAAGATTTTGAGCAGCAATGATAAAACAAACCGAGGATTAGAGCGTTGCGAGGTCCTGGGCCTTTCAAGTTGCGAAGAGAGAAGAGAGCTCTAAATCGCTCCGAGATTGGTTGTGACTGGTCCACCAATCGCTCGCAGAGAAACTTCTCCATGTTAATTGTCGATGAAACTGATCCGTTAGATTCCATATTCACTAAATCAGCTTCGTCGGCTTTTGAAAAAATATCTGGGGTTCCGATACGAGGACGACGGAGTAAAAGAGCCGACGACTAGGGTTTTTTGTATACAAAAGAGGAGAGAATCCGATTCGTGAAAAAGAGAAAAAAAAACGCGGGACCTATTCCGCTAATAACCAAATTTATATTTTGGTCCATAACAAATTATTAATTTTAAATTTGACCCGATAGTTTCTGTTATCCATTACTTATCGTAAACACGTGTTGTTGAGTGTTGATTCGCTTAAGAACGATAAACACAGAGCTTCTCTTTCGACATATCAACCGTTTCCTTCCTCAACATCGATCCAGGTGAATTCTGGAAAACATCTTGAAGCGAAATCGAGAAATCGTTGGAGGATTGAATCGTTTTTCGATTGATCGATGAATCCTAGAAGGTTAGCTCTCCTTGAATGAATTCAAATCGCTAGTTTTTCCAGCATACCCTTTGTTTAGAATTTGGAGGTCAAGATCTGGCGTAATCTGATGATTAGATGTGTTTTTCCATGAGCTCTTTAATTTGTAGATTAGGTTTCATTGGGAAGATCTGAAGGAGCAGTAGAATAGGACTGTTGCTCTGTATTCTGATAGATTTAGATCAGTTCCAAATTCATCTAATTTAGATTTAGCTTGTAAACTTCATACTCTGGATCTGAAAATGGCGGAATTGAATCATGGATTGAGTGGAAGATGGTACTGTTTCGTTGCTGAGGTCTAATTTTGATTTCAGGGAGCCGCGTGGTGGTAGAAGTTCTCTCTTTGATGGCATCGAAGAGGGAGGAATTAGAGCTGCTTCTTCTTACTCTCATGAAATCAATGAACATGAGAATGAGCGTGCCTTGGAAGGATTGCAAGATAGAGTCATTCTCTTAAAACGAGTAAGCCTCCCTGCCTCTGATTCTTCTGTCATGTTCAAACTTGTGTGCAACGCTAATGAATGGCTTCACATGAAAAATGACATTAGGAATTGGATTAAAGCCATAAACGTAGTAGGAACATACACTTGCAATACATTTTAAATACTACTTACTCCCTATAGTTGTAGTTTTGAAACCGTGATATAGTTTCACATTTCTTGGTTCAACATTGTTATTGTAGTTGGACTCTTTTTGCACAACTAGGTTTGAACCATACTCTTATTTGTTTCTTTTTTCATGAAACAGCTATCTGGCGATATAAATGAAGAGGTCGATACTCATAACCGCATGCTTGACAGAATGGTATTTTCCAGAATATTCTGGTGCTTATATTTTTTGGTTTGCTCACAGACGCTATTGTTACTAAACGTTTTGCAAGGTTTTCTATGTAGGGCAATGATATGGATTCATCAAGGGGATTTCTCTCAGGAACCATGGACCGGTTTAAAACGGTAAATCTGAGTAGAAATACTCTCTCAGAACCATTAGCTTACCTTCATTATGTGTTGCAACGCGTCTTTGATATGTTGAATCGAATCCTTGCAGGTATTTGAGACAAAGTCAAGTCGAAGAATGCTGACGCTCGTGGCATCGTTCGTTGGTTTATTTCTAGTCATATACTATCTTACTCGGTAAAATTGGCAAACCCGGAGTATTCCTGAACATCCATCCATGATCTCATGATATTCCCAGTCTCTCTCTGTTGGCTCCTACGATCTAATTATCCTCCAGTGTTACAGTGTGATCCACTGCTTGGGATGAGGACACAAATTTCATAAAACTTATAAAAAGTTTCATATGTTGGATTTTATAGAGCGTTTTTACTTCCTTTATGTATAAATAGCGACGGTTCAGATTTTGGAGCAACCAGGCAAAGGATAAAACAATCTAAAGGACCTACAAAAAAATAGCATATTGGATAAACTTTGATGCACCAGCCGGGAATCGAACCCGGGTCTGTACCGTGGCAGGGTACTATTCTACCACTAGACCACTGGTGCTTGTTGAACGATACTTCGTACAAAACTAATATAATAGAAACTGTATTATCTCATTCATGGACCTAAATTAATTACAAACTCTTCTTGGGGATATCGCAACAGTCTTACCAATGATCTTATTCATGGAACTAAAAGTGCAGGAAGAATTCAAAACTCATACCTCGCAATGATGAGGACAAAACAAAGCAAATTAGTAATTCTGAAATTGAGCAACAATTGTATTAGTGAAGTAACAAACATGGCTTGTTTGTGCATTAACAACATGGAACTTGACATATCTTAATGACCCTACATAGTTGTTGCAGCATCTATTCCTGAGGAAAATACAAATTGTAGTTTGAACTAAGTGTAAACGCTATAACAATTGCCCTGTGGCACAACAATGGAGTAAAGAGATTATCAAAACTCCAAATATCTTGTGAAGAGATCAAGTCAGCCCTTCATCATCAAAAGTAATCTTCAAAGCCCCCTTCCTTATCACTGTCGTAGCTCTCAGTTCCTGCAATATTATTGTTCTACAAGATGAGAAGAAGGATGATTCCATTAACAATGTATACCATGTGCAAAATGTTTATATTAAGGTGGATTTAGAGGCTGGTGTAATAAAAAGGAAATGAATTATAAAAAATTGTCCAAAAAAGAAAAACACAAATGAATTGCAATCTTTCATGGGATTTTAGTGCTATTACCACTGACCTTTGGCTTCTGTGGTCGATAGATCCTGAACAATGACTTGCAGCTGATTCGGGTTAAAAGTCGAAAAATTGTCTGAGGAAGGAGATGGAGCAGGAAAAGTGAAGTCGGAATCACTTGATGAAGCTTCAGAGTTCTCAGAGCTGTCAGCAAGATCATCACGCACAACTGGCGCTGAGGCCATTGTTGAAGCTGACATAGAAGGAGATCTCAAGATGGACTTCAGTTGCGAGAATTGGTCCGACATAGAATATAACAACCTGGAATACACTAAACAAGACTTATCATCAGTAAATGTACTAGATTTATCAATTAACTTTTTTAACTGAGGAGTCAAAATTGTAGGAAGGAAGATAAATCTAAGATAATCTATGGTTGTTAAAATTACGAATCAATAATACCTGTTCAAAGAGTCTTGTAACTGGTAAACTCTTCTTTCTGTTTCTTCTAATCTTTTACGTCTTCTCTCCCCAAGTTCTCGGGCTTCAGCACATTTTCTTTCGGAAATGTCAGCTCTTTGTTTCTCAACTTGCAATAAGGCCTGAAGAGTACCATAAATATTCAATTTATCCTCCATGCATTTGATCAAGATGATAGCCGTATTTTGTTCAGGATATAGAGTTGTAAAATCAGGTAAATAAATCAGGTGAACAGCTTGAAAATCCGAAGATAATTAGCATGCTGTTTCTAAAATCTGTTCACAACGTTGGTGGATATAGAAACATTACCTTCAGCATCTCAACTTCTGCAGTGAGGGATTCAATTTCTGTATCACGAATAGGATCCGTTATTTGGCTAACAACAGAAAAGGTGTTGTAAGGCTTCTCTGAATCGGTAACAAAGGACTTCTGAATTCCATCTTCTACTTGGATGATATGTTTGGTCTTTCTTTCATGTCCTATCTCTTCATCATCACTTTGATCTGAGTGCACTACAAAGGAATTCTCAATTCCATTATTTGCCTGGCTGGAATGTTTTGTCTTTCTTTCATGTCCTATCTCTTCATCATCACTTTGATCTGAATGCATAACATAGGACTTTTCAATTCCATCTTCTGCTTGGATGCAATGTTTTGCCTTTCTTTCATGTCCTATCTCTTCATCATCACTTTGATCTGAATGCATTACAAAGGACTTCTCAATTCCATCTTTTGATTCGATGGAAAGTTTTGTCTTTCTTTCATGTCCCATCTCATCATCATCACTTTGTTCTGAATGCAATACAAAGGACTTATCAAGTCCATCTTCTGATTCGATAGAAAGTTTTGCCTTTCGTCCATGTCCACTCTCTGCATCATCACTTTGCTCTGAATGCAGTACAAAGGACATATCAACTGCCTCTTCTTCTCTGTTGGAAAGTTCCACCTTTCTTTCATTTTCTGTCTCTTCTTTTCTGTCAGCCTATACACATGATTTTACATCAATCAAAATCAAATACTTTTTTCAACGTATCTCTACATGCGGAATAATTTAAAATAATTGATACTAAAAAAAACGTGCAGGGATTGGTTTGCAATACCTGCTTTGACTGTCCCAACCGTTTTCTCGCAATTCTTCCTCTGAGATTACTTTTACAAACAAGAGAAACTCTTTTCAGTTTCTTGTATTCAGATATAGCACTGTAACCACGCCAATACGCCTGCAAGTTGATTAGAGTTGAACGTCATTTATAGTTCTTGAGATAGAAAGATTCCATGAGAATTTTTTAAGTACGAAAGGGTAATGAGAAAAAGGACCTGAATCACAGTTGCTGCCCTAGTCGTTAATTTATAACGGAATTCATGACGTGCAGCCATTGTGCGGACTCCACTTTGCAAGGTGAGTGCGGAAGATTTGGTCTTCCCGTAATCTTTCTTTGCAATCTGTCTACGCAAGTTTTTCTGTATTTTGATGGCAGCTTCCTCCCTTCTCATGTCCTTGGATATCTTTCGTGCGAGATTTCCTAAAATATGAAAAAGAGACTTTATCAGCATTCCTAATTTACCCTGCATGTCAATGTTACCATAACGCCAAAAAAAAAAAAAAAAAATCTAAGGCCCTCACCTCTCCAATTAGCTTGTATATTAACTGAAGCCCTCCGCATGAGAACAAATCGTTCTCTTGTCAGACGAGTTCTAACTTGTCCCTGAATCATCCTCGCTGATTCGCCGAGCACTCTTGTTCTGTGTGCATCTAACTCAGCCATCTGACCAGCTCTTAGGAAAACTTTACTTTTTCCAATCTGCAAATTAGATTTTATATGATCAACACGCACCTAGGGGAGTCATGCTATCTGAGAAACTCAAATTTCATAGAATTCTGAAAATTCTACATGTATGCAAAATTGGGATTCGTTTTACATTTAGTGAACGTCCTTGAAACCTTACCTGGTAACCTGTAAGCCCTTTTTTCTCCAAAATCCATTTGCATGCAACCTCTGCTTCGTACCTGATTACAGTGTAAGGTAAGAAAACTACGATAAACAGACTCAAGGAGCAATAAAGCAGACAATAGTGGAAGAAAGTCCAAGCTTAACGGGTAGAACTGATACATACTCTCCTTTCAGAATTTCCGGTGCAAGAATGAGAAATCGATTTAAAAATTCAATGAAAGTTCTATTTGTTGGATATCCAGCGCATTTCACTCTGATGGCCTCAAGAACACCCTGCATAATACAAATATCATATAACAACTCAAGACATCAAAGATATTAATATGAATTATTCAGCAGAAAAACTGACCCCAGAGCGTAATTGATGCAAGACATTGGCATTGTCAAACACTGTTGGTTGCAACAAATTGTTTGGCTTAACACACCTGATGTAGTGGGGTTCCGTAGAGTTCAGTGTCTCCATCAGCTGTTGCAATTGTAGCTGCACCAATTACTTGAACATGTCAGTCCGTACAGATGATGAATGTGGCATCAAAGTTTCAACAATATGTTATGTGTGGTCCAACCATCCAGTCCTATCTATTGGTTAAAAGTCTTAATGGATTTGCAGGCAAGTCACCTTGAAACGAGCGCCAATTGAAGAAAACTTAGATTTGCTACTCTCTTTAGGAAGAGGAGGAAAAAGGCCTGACACAAAAGAACATTTGGAAGCATTTAACAAATCTTGATGCTCGGCAACAACATAGTCTTTGTTTTTGTCTAAAAATTGATCGGACTGGTATTGAACCTGAAAAGAATAGCATGGGAAAGAGACCTTAAAAATCATAACATACTTTTAATCCTTGAAGCAACAGAGTGTGAAATGCAACTTACATCCCCTGCATAATGAACTAATGTAAAATCTGATCGAGTCAATTTTGGTTTCATGAAGCGCTTATGATCCTTGAATGTGTGATACAGCTTCTCAGAAAATGTTTCAGGAGTTGATTTTGGTAGCATGCTGCAGCATAAACGTTTATAACACATAATAATGTTACTTGGAGAAAATAGTTACTGTGCAAGAAAACACTAAAGTACAACTGCAAGTGGAGAAAAATTTATTATACCATGCTTCATCCAGAAGAGCAATAATACCACCCGGTTTCTGCAAAAGATTGAAATCATATTTTCAGGAAGAAAAAAAACGCAGCATGAAGCAATGGAAATAACGATACTGCATGTGTTTTCAAGTCAGAACAATGCATAGTGAGCTAGGACATTGGAGCATATTGAAAACAAATAGAACTCTTACATGCTTTCATGAACCTTTCAGAATGTTTTTACATTTCTTACATGCTTTCATGGATTTAAGCTACAAGTGCAAGCACATACTGTAATCACAGGTTAAGCTGTAGGATAATGTATTTTAGATGATGGCTGAATGCTCTCTAAAGAGAATTTCTACTGTCCAGTGTTTGAATTACCCAAATTGGTCGCAAATATTAAGCCATGAATCCATGTTTATACAGGGAAAGAAACAGATAATGGATAAAACAAACCTTTTCAATCAGATCCACGACATCTTGATTATCAACAAACTCCACATAGCTCCAATCTATTTCTTCTTTCTGATATTCACCTTGTTCCATTTTGAATACATGCTGTACAATATTAATGAGTTCAGATTAATTAACAGACTCTTGAGCCAAATCAGCAGCCATAACCTATGACTGACCTCATACCTGATTGAAATGCTGTTGCAGCTTTTCATTCGTGTAATTAATACAGAATTGCTCAAAACTGCAAGGAAAGTATTAAGAAGTCAGTGAACAACTGGAATAGAGGTTGATTAGGTGATATTATAGATCTCTCTTTAGTCATGGAAACTTACAGAAGACATCATTCCCTAAGATCACAATTTTAGCTAATAATATGTTTATCATATCAGCTCAGAGTAAAGGTTTCTATTCAATGAACTCTTCATACTAAAATCAAGGGAAAAGACTAATTGAAAATTTGTATATTAGACAATAGGACACTTGGTGTGTTTTGACACTTAAGATATCACCCCAAGCATATGCTTGTAGAGTAAACCATGCATGCTCACGGCCATCACCTGTTGGTTTTAAAGCTTTCAAAACCATAGATGTCAAGGACTCCGATCAAGCGCCTAGAGTGAGAATCTTGCCCAATAGAGATATTTATTTTGTTCACCAACCTGGAAAATAGTAATGATTACTGACTTAGCAGATGTCACCCACAGTGTCATATGGACAAAAGATATTTGAACATTAAAATAGAAAATTTACCAATCAAAGAGTCTAGAGTATATTGTCTTTGCTAAACCATCCCTGCTAACGGCAGCACCAAGAGGATCAAGACTTCTCTTGATAACTTCTTCTGGGGTGACCATCATACGCTTACACAAAGCATCTTCTAAGGAATGGGGATCACACCTAAAATAACAAGTTGTGATTACACGCAGTACAATAATCAGCATTTAGTTGGAAAAGTAGAAGAGCCGTATATTACATGAGCAGTTCTGATGTCATTTGGAGATGAAACATTGACTGTTCATCTTTTACTGATGATGAATCAGCATCTTCTCCCTTCGAAAATTCAATATTTCCAAGATGGAGAATGGCAGCCACAACTCTGAAAATTGCATCCTGAAGAGACAGAATAAAAGAAAGATAAGTCCGTTCCTAATAGCAATCAACAGGTGATAGGCAAATTGCAAAGATGATTGCAAACCTGTTCTTTTTCACTTATTCCAACTACATCCATAGCCCTTCTAGTAGCAAGATACTCCTCTGCATCATTTACACCATCAAGTTCGTAGCAGCTAGATTGGTTAAGATAGCGAAATGACTTAGGATCCCCCAACTTAAACCTCTCAACGTCCTGCAAATTTTAATATCATCTATCACTTTAAATATTTTCCGCTAAAAGGTGAGGACAACTTAGAAAACCTACCTCAGGAGGAGCAGCACACAGGAGATAAAAGCAGTGATAATTACGTTCAGGATCTGAAACTTGGCAAACACGTGACCTCTCCAAAAGGTAAGTTCTGATGGCTGCCCCTGATATTCGGCCCACGTCATCAAACTGAATCTCCACAAATTTTCCAAAACGACTGTAACAAGAAAAAGCATTAATATTTATTACCAGCAGTGATAAATCTCTTTAACAGCAGGTAAAAGAGACAAGAGGACGAGCAAAGCGAAGGAAGGAGGAATGGAAGCATTCGATAATAAAAGCGCTAAGTTTACCTGGAATTGTTGTTCTTAACAGTCTTCGCATTTCCAAATGCCTCGAGAACTGGATTTGACTGTAACATAACCCAATTGGCATAAAGAATTAGACCCAAAACCAAAACAAGAGGCACAAGTGGTATCATATAATGAGCAAGCTTCGATCTAAGGATGTCAAGGCAGGGATATAATCCCAGACTGTATACTCAAGAAAAACGTCTTGTTTCTGGAGCAGATAAAAGGGATAGAAAGTCATCGTCATAGCCTTGAAATTTCTTGATTTAGGCAGCAAGGTTAAAACCTCACGTGTAGGAGACTCAGTAATTTAAATTAATTAGATCATTACAACTTACTTCCAAAACTTGGTTTTCAACTGTCCTTCCTTCAGCTGCACTATGCCCTCCAAAGTATGCAAGGTAACGCATGAGCATCTTAGTTGTTTCTGTCTTTCCAGAACCACTTTCACCGCTGACCAATATACATTTGTTCCTGCCCTCATTAATCATTTCCCTGTTGCAAATTTCCTCAAACTAATAAATAAAACCCACTTCTGCAACTTTTATAGATAACAACAATAAAAATGAACAAATAATCACCTATATGCGATGCCACCAATTGCAAAAACATGAGGACTCAGCTCTTTGAAATAGGCTTCCTTATACTTCTCCATAACCTCAGCATCATAGAGATGGGGGAGTCCTTGAAAGGGATTGACGGCAATAAGAATGTTTCCTGTATAAGTCTGTCATGATGTCAAAATATTATAAAAGACTCGCCTATCTCTGCATTAACTAATGGTTTTTACCAATGACCAAGATAAAAATAATTGGTTTAAAACCAGAGATGAAATATTCTTACATAAATTTCATTGAGCTCATATCTGGTTGCCAAGTTGTCAAGAACTGCAGGCTCATGCAGATAAGATAATCTAGTCATGTCCTCTACTCCCTCTGAAGGAGCTTCAATGTCTTTTGGATAGAGTTTTGATAAGTTAGCAATAACCTGACCAGTAAAAGGAAATGTGAATCAGAAGTATGGAAAGCAAAACAGCACCAGTAAAAGCTTGAAATGACATTAGAAACAAAGTCACGCAGGGAGCAATATGAGCTACAAAAGCATTATATAACAAGATGAAAAAAAAGTCTTTACCTCTCTGCCATCATTGGTTTTAATCTCTGCTTCGTCTCCCTTTATATTAAGTACAACCCCATCAATCCATGCTCTTTCTGGGTCTTCCACCCAAACATGAGAATCCACCATTATGTTTTCAGCCATTTCTCTAAATCTTTCCTAGCATTTCACCAAACACCACAAGATTTCAGCAGATAGTAAAACATAATCAAACTATGGAATCCAAGACTATAAAAGGTTATAAAATTGCTGTTTCTCTTAAGAGCATTCTCGCATTGACAAAAGCAAAAATATCCATGAACCAAATTTCTCCTTAATGACAAAAGAATCGAAGTAGGCGAAAAGACAAACACCTGTAGCTGTAGCTCCCTCAATCAATCGACGCGTAAAACTTCAGCAATTCCAATCGACGGAGCTATTAAACTTTTCGAGAAGACGGTGATTTCGATATTCGTATAACACCAAAACCGGCGAGGCTCGAATTTCATGGACGTGATCGGTTCTTCTTCCTCTTCTGGGTTCAAACGCAAAAGTGAGAAATGAATTTTGTTTCTCATGGCGTGTGATCGATTTCTGCAGAGAGTGACGCAGAAACTCCCCTTCAATTTCGCCATTCCTGTGGACGCCATTGTCTCTCTCTTTCCCTCCCATTTTTAGCTCAAGGAGCAAAAACACCAGTATCCTCATCACCTTACAGACCCGGACTTTAACCCGACCCGACCCGCCAAAAAAAAAACGAATCTGAAAATTTATAACTTTTCCAGAAATTTATATAAATAAAAATGCAAAATTTCCTTGCCGGGCAAGGTCTGATTGGGTCATAAAGGCTAAAAGCCTTAAAACCCAGCTAAAACCTTGTTCTTCTTCTTCTTCTCTCATGAGCCAGCCCAAGTCTCTGGTGCAGCAGACCATGGTCCTACCGCTTCTGAAGCTAGGAACCCTAGCTCTACGCACTATCTGCAAACCCGTCGCTAATCGCCTTAAGAAAGAAGCTGGTGTTAATCCCAAATTCCGTCAATTCATCATCAACATTGCACAGGTATAAAAACAACTCCTTTGGGTTTGATTCTTCTGAAAATAGACAATTTTGTTATGATCATCGATCGAAAAGGAGTAATCTTGTGGTGTCTGTTGTATCTGATTGCATAAGTTTCTGATTTAGGAAGAAGAATCAAGGGTTTATGAAAGCTTTGAAATTGATATAATTTGTGGTTCTTGGACAGGCGAATCATAGATTTACGACTAAGTTACAAAGACGTGCTTCTGGTCGTGTAACTGATGCAGTTATTCGCCCTTTGAACGAAGAGAGAGCTGTTCAAGCCGCTGCAGATCTTCTTGGGGAACTCTTCGCCTTCACGGTACCTTAAATCTCATGTCTTTTCATAGATTTTGATTGTTTAAGGACTCAAAAGGAGAAATTTTTGTAGTTCTAGATCTTCTAATTCTGTTTCAATGAAGTTGTTCTGCATATGCAAGATCCCTGCAATTGAAGTTATTGCATCAATAAGATCAATTCTCGTTTTTTCTTTTTCTTCTTTTCCTCCTTAAGGTTGCAGGAGCTGCTCTTGTCTATGAGGTGCAGAGAAATGCCAGAGGAGAAGCGAAAAAAGAAGAGAAACGACAACAAGAACTAGCTGTGAGCTCTTCTATTCACACATGTCAACTATGTCTCTAATTGCATCTCTTTGGGATTTTCCACATATCTTGCTTACAAACTCTTGAAAGGTCTCTCTCTGTCTCTGCGTTTATATTTGCTTAACAGGAATTCAGACGTAAACATGAGAAGATGGAGAACGAAATCGAAGAGATGAAACAAAGATGCTGCCTGCTTCATGAAGAGCTTTCTAAGCCGGTTAATAAAGAGCTTTCTAAGCCGCTTAATGCAGAGGTCTCTAAGCCAACAGGATTATCTTGGCTCTTCAACTACATGTGTTGTCAGAGTGCTGCTGCTGAGAAAGTACAGTAGCAGAGCTAAGAAAACAAAAGCCTTTTAGCTTTACTTGTAGATAGTTTTCTATATAACCAGATAGGTTAACTGCAGAAGAGAAGAGATCTGTGTTCGTTTAGACTTGGACCATTCTCTCATAAACCATAATCCCAAATTCTTCTTACATTGAAAGAGTTGTTCCTGATTTTGACTTCGTCAATAACTTCATTTCAATCTTTCTTATTTTAGCCTGTACGAAGACCTTAATAAAACCCAATACCAAGATTTATCAAAAAAAAAAGATTGCTGGATATGGTTTACAATAAAAACAACAAAGAGTGAGAAAACTATTCAAACTATTTTCTCATGTCCTTGAATTATAATGACAATGGACTCCATATTAACTTGTATACGCAAATGGTAACACTCACTAGTCACTACTTATATGATTTTTTTTACTGAAAGATTGTAAATTTTCTGTTCCATTGTCGTTAAGATTAATTGGCATTTCAACAAAATCAGAAAAACAAAACGATATAGAAAGTTGGCATTTGTATATAAAAATAAAATTTAGGTCATTCAAAAAACATCAAGGTGCAATACCTAATTTAGGAAAACATAAAGGGTTCAATATGCAATTTTCCAAACTCAGTTTAGGGAAGGGGTATAATAGTAAAATCGCTGAATTCAATCCATCAAAAATTCCAACCCTACTGCTACTTACGACACGTCATCTCTCCTCGTAATCGGAGATTTCTCTTCTTCTCGTCACAGCCGCCAATCGCCGCCGCAATTTTCTTCATCGGCCTCCGCTCTTCATCGACGGTGTTTGTCGTTAATTTCTGTCAAGCTCTCAGTATTTGGTTACGTTCAAGACGCCATGACCATCTTCTCAGTTCAGTCCACTATCTTCAGTCGAGCCTCCGTCGTTCTTCTCTCAAGCAATGGCTTCAAACGATTTTCATTCGCTTCTTCGTTTTCTTCCTCCGCCGTTTATTCTCCACCTCTCCCCAAAATGAAAAAGCGTCGGTACCCAATCGTCTCTGCTGTTGATATTGGTGGCGTCACAATCTCTAGAAATGGTTCGTTCTTAGATTTGATTTTTAAAGTTATTTCATTTGACACTTTTTACTAATACTGTGTTCATGAATATACAGATGTGGTGAGAGATGATGATCCAACAAACAATGTACCAGACTCGATTTTCTCTAAACTAGGAATGCAGCTACACAGAAGAGATAAGCATCCGATTGGGATCTTAAAAAATGCTATCTACAATTACTTTGATTCCAATTACTCAAAAAAGTTTGAGAAGTTCGACGACCTTTCTCCAATTGTTACCACAAAGCAAGTAAGTTTTCATTACTCAAGTTTGTATCTTTCTGGAAGTATCACTTGGTAATGTAATTATTATTCGTTTTTGTTTTGGAACCAGAACTTTGATGATGTGCTAGTACCTGCTGATCATGTAAGCAGAAGCCTTAATGACACGTACTATGTAGACTCGCAAACTGTTTTGAGGTGCCATACAAGTGCTCACCAAGCTGAGCTGTTGAGGAAAGGTCATACTCGTTTCCTTGTAACTGGAGATGTTTACCGTAGAGATTCTATCGATTCTACTCATTATCCGGTTTTCCATCAGGTGTTCTATTCTTGATGTCCCTGTGTTTTTTTTACTTTGGCTGTTTTGCTTGGCATCATGTATTTCTTATACTGGATGTTTGATGTGTTTTTATCTATTACAGATGGAAGGTTTTTGTGTTTTCTCTCCTGAGGACTGGAACGAGTCTGGCAAGGATTCCACTTTGTATGCTGCTGAGGATTTAAAGAAATGTCTTGAGGGATTGGCACGCCACTTATTTGGTACATTGAGATCCATTAAACAATCTAAATTCTTCAGCAAGTGTAAATTACTTGAAAGATGGTTTATTAAGAGTTGTTTAGGATGATTATTTCATTAACTTCAGAAGATTTTGGGGAAATGTACATGAAATTATTTAATAGGAACTTCTTTTTTTGGCTGCCAGGTTCTGTGGAGATGAGATGGGTTGATACATATTTCCCATTTACCAATCCATCTTTTGAGCTTGAGATATATTTTAAGGTAGTCTACTAGTCTTTCATTTTCCTATCTGATATATTGCATAGCTATGCTTGCTTTGCTTAAAAGAGACATACTTCTATTTTGGTATGCTCTCCTTTTCCCGAAAACATATTGTTGTCATTGGCTAGAAATTATAGCATCTAACACAAACTTCAGTTTCTCGTTTAACACAAGCATTATCTGGTTATCGGTTCAGGAAGACTGGTTGGAGGTTTTGGGCTGTGGGGTGACCGAGCAAGTAATTTTGAAGCAAAGTGGATTAGAAAATAATGTTGCGTGGGCCTTCGGACTTGGACTTGAGAGACTTGCTATGGTTTTGTTTGACATCCCTGATATAAGATTTTTCTGGACATCTGATGAGCGATTCACGTCCCAGGTGATTACTTAGTTGACAACTTTAAAAATTAGGATGATGAGATTACCGTCTAAAATTTTTAGTTCTTTTCTTACATTAATGTATTTGATGTTACATGCAGTTTGGAAAAGGAGAGCTTGGAGTGAAATTCAAGCCATATTCGAAGGTAAACTTTTCTTTCCATCTTCATGTCTCGTAGACTAATGAATGTTAGTTCAAGACCTATTTGTCTTGTAAGTTTTAACGATGGCAAACAAAATCTTGTTTTGCAGTATCCTCCTTGTTACAAGGACATCAGTTTCTGGATAAGTGATTCATTCACAGAGAACAACTTTTGTGAAGTAGTCAGAGGAATTGCTGGGGATCTTGTTGAAGAGGTACATACCTTATCCTTTGATTGGTTGGGAGAGAATGCTACTTTTGACAGGAATCGAATTTACTTTTCAGCTTTCCTTTACTTGTATGAGTATCATCACGTTCTTCAGAGTGCCTTTGTTTATAGCCTTTATTATCGCATTCACAGCTGAAGTTAATTGACCAATTCACCAATAAGAAAGGGATGACGAGTCATTGTTACAGAATCGTGTTCCGTTCCATGGAGCGGTCTCTTACGGACGAGGAGGTCAATGATCTGCAGGTAATCAGTTTTGTTTCTTTTCCATTCATCGTTAATAAGTAAGAAATTCAAAAACCTTTTGTAGCAAAAATGAAAGATAGCAAGATAGCATGGGTTGTTATATGTTGTTAGTGTTAAAATGTGTTGAAATGGTGACTTATCGAAATGCAGAGTAAAGTGCGTGATGAGGTGCAGAAGAAGCTAAATGTCGAATTAAGGTGAGAATTTTGAGAAGAGTAGAGTTGTTGCAGACAATGATGGACCTTTCTGGTTTGACATTGTAATTCCTACATAAATTTGATTTATTTCTGGCAGAATTGCATTACCCTCAAATAAAATATATGAACTGTACATTGTTTTTTGTTATTCTAAAGGAAAGAAAAATAAATTTTGTTTTATGCCTCGACTTCGCAGATTTTTTTAGCTGTTTACATCTGAATAGTTTGTAGCAAAGTATTTTTACACAAAAAAATGTCAAATCAATGAGTTGTCTCAGTGATCCAACATTACAAGCTGCAACTTATCTTCAAAATTGTTTCAGTTTTGCCTCAACAAGAGCTCGTTTTACTCAAGGGTTGATTCTATTAAGTGTATTCGCATATGTATAACTTGAAAACGAAACAAAAAGCTTCCGAAACCTACACAATCACAAATAAACAAAAAAAAAAAACAGAGATTAATGTTTCAGTTCTTATCAATTTATCATTGTTCACATTCATCATGGTCAAAGGTAAGAACATATATCATATTTGGTGAAGGAGACATACCAAACCCACTGGCTTAAATGTTGAGCCATTGCTTTGAAGCTTTTCCAAGGCTGCTCGTTTATGATGATTACCTTACTCGGATGTTGTTTGACGGATAAAATTGACAGCCAAATGTCGACAGGTCCAAAGTACTTGCGAAAGATATTAAGGCTTACCTGATGTACAAAACCGTGTATTCTTTTAGCTGAATCAATTATACAATCGTTCCGAGAAAAAAAAAGTAAGACTTACGAGTTCCCAAGCTTTGATATTTCTTCCTGAATTAGTCTGCAAGAACTTTCTGCATGTACAACAAAGGGATGAGGAATGATTTTGCGGTTTTATGACTAAGGGATTGAAAGAAGTCTGACGTACAATACTCCATGATGCACATCTCGGTGATTGCAGTGACCCGAAACACCATAGTTATCGAATGTTATTATCTGAAAGCACCACATAGAGAATTAGATGCAGAAATATTTCTGAGTGATATCCTGATGATTGTCTTTAACTACGCTGTAGGAGCCAAGTCATACTGTGTGGATATCGTGATTAGTGACTTCTTCTTTGATGATCTCTGTTAGCAAATCGTGGCTCCATAATTGCCCAAAACCATCCTGCAAGAGAGTAAATAGTATACACAGTGACCTCAAATGAGATGGTGAATATAAAGATACACATGTATTGGGGAGATTTATAGTAGAACTAAACCTGCAAATTAGGATGGTCCAGAATCTTTAATTGTTGAAGCGGAATCTGCATCATGTGTTCAATATATATATTAGCAAAAACATGTTCTTCATTGCAATGACAAGAAACATTATCACAGATCCCTTGTTTATCAAATAGGATTACCTTCAGCACCGCACATGCTCGATGCAGCTCATCGTTCCTAATGCTTCCCATGCCATCAGCATTACCTGAAACAAAATAAATTCATCTTTAATGTGGAAAAGGAACCTAATCTGCAACTTTAGTAGACATCAATCTCTTCTCTTCAATGAAACTAGAAATTTCCAAGGCATATTACCAGTGGAGAAGCATAATATGTGAAGATTGCAGGCATTGGAAGCTAAGTAGTTTATTGTTGGAGAAAAGAACCTGTCAAGAATGTCCATAACTAATCTCTCAGCATAACATAAGAAGAAGAAAAATACTAATCTTGACATTTCATTCATTCCAAGAAACAGCCAGAGAGATATCTTACATTGACTCATCATCAGGATGTGCGATAACGAACATTACATTTTTCTTCTGAGGGGTTGTACCTGAAATCAAGTACAATAAGATATCAAATTCTGAAAAAAAAGATGAGCATTTGAAAGAAAGAAGCTATTATTAACCGGTGAAAACCATCTTCTAGCTACTTGCCATCATCAATAATAGCAGCAGCACTAGAGGTAGATGTTGCTCGGAAGAAGATTTTGCAGAAAGAAGCCACCCATATAACAATCAGAGAAAGAGAAACCACAAGCCAAGCCATCTGACACCATAAATCATATTGAATCAATAGGAATTTTTCAGCATATTCTGTAAAAATGAAGTTTCCTCTGTAAGCAATCAAGATCATCACATTGGGAAGGAAACTCTTGTTTGCCCAAATTCCAGATTCATTAGTCCACATTGAAGATAACCATAACAGAAACATTCTCACATTCCGAAGGATCAAGCTAAGGAAAATCAGAGACTGAAACAACAAAACCAACGAAGAGAACATACCAAAGCTGGGGTTAGAACGTGAGAGCTTGATGACGGCGACGAGGCGGTGTGGGAGGCTGATCGACGGCGAGAAGGAGGAAGGAAGTGATCGCTGACGGAGAATTTTTCTTACGGGATTATTTGGGTTTCATAGGGCCCAACTACGGCCCAAATTACCGGGTTGGATCGATTCTGTTTGTTGGATCTTCGTCGAAGAAAGATTATTGTATTTACGACTTCTTTTTTTTGTAGGGTTGTATTTACGACTTTGCCACACTTACAAACACATAACAAATTAAACACAGAAAGAAAAAGAAAAAGAAAAAAACACTCTAAAGATTACGACCAAAAATACTATTGATTCAAAAGAGAACAAGAAAAAAATAAAATTCAGGTCTATTAAGGGTTTCTTAAGTAAATAGTCGTCACAATTAAATATATTTTTTCGAGTTTCATGAAAACAATAGAAATCAACAATGTATCTACTCAGAATTAAACTTTGATATTGCGGGAAAGAAAAGTTGATATTGCCCAACAAATAAAACTACTATTTAACCCCCAAAAAAAAATAAAAATGAAACTCTTGTAAGAAAATGATGAGTAGTTCACGAGTTAAGCTAAAACTAGACTTTTACCTTATATAATTTACATAATTAGGACCATAAAGTATAAAAAATTCCCGACATATCAAACTGCATTCACGTTACTTATGCTCCCACCTTATTATATACAGTTATATTTATCATATACAAACTGCCTTTTATTATTATTCTTTCAGATCAAGCTTTTTCCAATTCACCAAAACACAGTAACATGCATAATGATTAGTCACAAGTTGAACTATATTAAAATTCGATGCTTTTCTTCTCTCTTTTTATATCATATGCCTATGAACGCGTAAGTTCCGTGTAAATAAATTATCAATTAAGAAATAAACAAATTTATGTATGTTGTTATCACGAAAACAAATGGTACGAACGATCTATAGCAAAACAGTAATATTAAATAAATTTGTTGTTTTCCAACAGTTTTTACCATGTATATTGTTGATGTCAGACGTATTAATCGCAGATTTATTCTAAAATAAACGTGTGATCCATATATAATGACTACATTATAAAAATTGTGATTTGGTAGTAATTAAATAGAAATTTGGATCGGAACAGATGCAGTCTTGTGATTTGTGACCTTATATGACAGTGAAAACATGTACGAATCGTTACGGAAAATTTGCTAGAATGTATTTTGACTTCAACCGAAAATCTTAAAACGAGATACTGAAATTGGCTTTGTAATTTAATTACTTTTTACTAACACCCAAGTTAGCTTCTCCGCAGTTTGTTGGTGTCATGAAGCCTTAAGCCTACATTAACTACTATTTAATAGTACAAGTTATACTCTAATAATCTGTCACATTTGATTGGTCTTGTCAGATATTCCGATTCCCAATGCTCAATCATTTTGCTGGTCTCAAGATATTACTAAGCTAAATGCATTTTTCATTTCTGCGTAATACTTGGAAATAAGCCTGAGTGAATGTAAAAAAAATTTAACTCACTTGATTAATTAAAGATGTTTTTTAAAATATACTAACTCAGATGATTCCAAAGGCTTTTTATACCCAAATATTAATTAAAAATAACAAAAAATTTAAGATTTTCATTTTTTAAACATAAAATAAATAGCTGAGAAAATTATGAAAATAAGATAAATTTAATATCAAAATTACGAAAATATGTTAGATTTTGTGAATAATAATTAGAAAGAGTGAAAAAATAGTCCTAATTTAAACTCTAAAATATAAACAGTAAAGTATCTATATTTCTTCATAAACCCTGTAGGAGATCAAACTCAAATTAAGATTTCAAAAATAAACCATAAACCCTAACACTTGATTTCTCTCCCTAAAATCTACACAAACGGTCAATTTTCTTAATTTTGACACTTTTAATCTTTTTACTTTATATTTTTCTCAATTATCTCATATTTTACGCAATACATTTTCTTATTTTATTGAAAATTAATTTATGTTATCATAAAAAGAAAAATAAGAATGTTAAAAAATAAATAACAATAATAATATATATTAAAAAAACATTACGTACGGACCACAGTATGCATATATATACATATGCACATGTGAAGCAGAATTGGGTGGATTGAGAATGAGAGGAGAAGCACATGGAAGCACACTTGCATGAACATGTTTGTATTCATAGGCAACCACTTTCAATTTTAAATAATGACTAATTTGCAACCATTATTAGTTTATTACCACTCCTTTTTATGTTTTTGGTATATCAAATTAACATAATTACTACTCCTACTTGATGATTTCTTTTATTGTATACTTTCCACAGTATTTTTGTACATCTGAAAATTCTCTCTTTTAATATGTAAACTTTTTCCGGACCAAACATGGTTTTTGTCTTTTGATATATACGAAGTTTCCTCTTCAAGTGGAAATTGAATTCGGGTATACACTCCAGAAATAACATTTTTCTATATATATGGCTCAGGTAACCCACACTTAACTTTTCTTTTTTATTTGTTTCCATTTTCACCTTTTGAATTCTGAATTATTTGATACCACACTAAAATTATCTCTCTTTAACTAATCATATGGTTATATGCTACACTTTGCCACTAATTGATAACTATATTTATTTTCATTTTAGAAGTTTTATTTTCGTTGTACCAAAGCTGCCTTCTTCGTCCAATACTTTCATTAAACTGTTATTTCAGTTTCCATTAATTCTTGTTGAATTCCTTAACCTTCTAGCATTTCATTTGTTTTTTGCCGGGCTTGTTGTAGAAATTTCGAAGATTGGTCTTATGTAGAAAATTAAAGAGAATATTCTTAGAGTACTTTGCTAGAGGACCACCATTGATGTTTGGATTGTTTGGAGTAAAGATTACATTAAAATGAATTGTATATTTCATATGAATAGTGAAATTAACAATAGACAGTTGGAACATTAAACGTATATGAAATAATTTCACAACGTTAAAATTGTTCTAAAAGATGTATACAATTTTGTTTTAACTACTTATATTAATCTAACACATACATAATAGCAAAATATTTTTAATCGAACCAAGCTTTTCTTACATTTTTTTTTTATTTTGTCATCTCATTAAAAATCTATTTTCGAGAAGTTTGTATTTGTAAGATTTCTATATTTATCATAACTTTTTTTTATCAATATACAAAGTGAATTTAATCCAATAAATAATCTTCTGTTTTAAAAACAAATGAATCAAATGGATTGGCCTACATGAAGCTTTGGTTTGGGGACAAAGAAAAAAAAAATTGAGAGGGAAAGGTCTCACAAGTCACAAAATATTTATACAAAAAATAAAAACAAAGCACATGTTCTGACACATGAACATGGTTCCTTCTTCACTTCTCCTTTTCTTTCTAACAGCTCATTTCTCTCTATCTCTCCACTCTTCCACTACTCTCAGCCTCCCACTAAATTCATTCTTCTCTTTCCTTTGCATTTTATAATGCTTTTTCTCTAATATTAGCATTGCATTGTCATAAATTCCTATGTATATGTTACAACTGATGATTGATTTCCTTGTTATTTGCATTGTTTATAGTATATATAGAGGGAGAGCTTATATATGTATATATATAGATTATAGACAGGCTTCTCTATAACTAAATTGTACATGTGAAGGACAGAAAGAGAAGTGTATTAATTGTATTGGACTATTCTTCTTTGTCATTTGATAAAGTGGCCACTCTTATGTTATCTACTCATTAATGTCCATACACACTGACTCCTAACCTTACGTATGATAATCTTTGCATTTACATGTATAATTCTGCGTTAAACTAGTTAAACAACAATAAAAAGTTGTGTTTACTAGACAATGACTCAATGAAAACATTTTAACCAAACATTTGCTCACCTCCATAACAAGTCGAATGTTTCGACAAAACTTATATAGGTTAAATCTTACAAAGTTAGAAACTAGACTTACAAGTGTTTCATGAATCGATTAGTGGTATACAAATTCATATGATTTCCATATATTGAAAGAGAGCAAATGAGAGGGAGCATCCGGTAGCATTAGGCCAAGTGTCAAACTCGTCGGACGGCCAGAAAACAAGGCGGATGAAATGATCAAACGGCGGAGAAAGGAAGAGAGAAAAGCGGGATCGGAGCATGTGGAAGAGAGAAACATAAGAATGTTTCCAAAGGATAAATAAAATAATATCATACACTGTTTAAAAAAGAAAAAGTCTCTCTAATAAAATAATTTAGCAAAACAAAATTAAGGGAGAAGGGGTTCACTGAGAGCACGTGCTGCCTGATTCTCCATTTGCTCCTAAGAGAGACCTCCAAGCTTTTTTATTTTTCTTCCGAAACAGCTGTTTCATAGCTGTCCGATCTCTCTCGCCCCCCATGTGACCCCACTCAGAGATATAAACCCTTTGAGATCGAATCCATTTATATAATTTATTTAGCTTTTTTCTATTATAAAAATTATTTATCTCATGCATCTCTCTCTCTATCTCTTACTTCTGTTTTGTATAACTACTCTTTGTTATACATAGCCATTTTAGTTACTCTGGTTTGTTTCTCATCTCATTCTCTCTCTCTTTCTCTCTAATGGTTCTTCCTCTGTTTTAGGATTTTGATCATCTAAAATTTTCAATTTCTCTTGATCCTCACTTGAATCTTTTTGTTTCTCTCATATCTTGATCCTTTCCTTTGTTTTTCATCTGCCTTTTTAAAAAAAATTCTGGTGTGCCATTAAATCTTATTAATGGCACAACTTCCTCCGAAAATCCCAACCATGACGACGCCTAATTGGCCTGACTTCTCCTCCCAGAAACTCCCTTCCATTGCCGCAACAGCCGCGGCCGCGGCAACCGCCGGACCACAACAACAAAACCCTTCATGGATGGATGAGTTTCTCGACTTCTCGGCGACTCGCCGTGGGACTCACCGTCGTTCAATAAGCGACTCCATTGCTTTTCTTGAACCACCTTCCTCCGGCGTTGGAAACCACCACTTCGATAGGTTTGACGATGAGCAATTCATGTCCATGTTCAACGACGACGTACACAACAACAATCATCATCATCATCATCACGGCAACAACATCAACGGCAATGTGGGTCCCACGCGTTCCTCCTCCAACACCTCCACGCCGTCCGATCACAATAGCCTTAGCGACGACGACAACAACAAAGAACAACCACCGTCCGATCATGATCATCAAATGGACAATAACGTAGCCAATCAAAACAACGCCGCCGGTAACAATTACAACGAATCGGACGAGGTCCAAAGCCAGTGCAAGACGGAGCCACAGGATGGTCCGTCAGCGAATCAAAACTCCGGTGGAAGCTCCGGTAACCGGATTCACGATCCCAAAAGGGTAAAAAGGTAATTCAATGTTTTTTATTTACTATTTCCAAAAACCCCAAGGAAGGTCATGCATGCACGTACAGTTTATAATATCTGATAATTCGTATATACCGTTTTTTAAAAATAGTTAAATTAGTGTCACATCGATAAAATCTAATTTTTGGTTTTTGCTGAAATTTTCTACAGAATTTTAGCAAATAGACAATCAGCACAGAGATCAAGGGTCAGGAAATTGCAATACATATCAGAGCTTGAACGGAGCGTTACTTCATTGCAGGTAATTTACACACAAAGATATATGTTTACTAATGTTTTTTTTGATAAATATATGTTTGTTAATGTATAATAATCAAAATTAAATACTGATCAACAAATCATTTAAATTTGTGGAATGAAGACTGAAGTGTCAGTGTTATCGCCAAGAGTTGCGTTTTTGGATCATCAGCGATTGCTTCTCAACGTCGACAATAGTGCTATCAAGCAACGAATCGCAGCTTTAGCCCAAGATAAGATTTTCAAAGACGGTAATTTTCTATTTTGAAATTTTTTACTTCAATTTTCAATAATTATATTTAGTTCTTCTGAATATATTTGTCAGTGATATATTATCAAATTATAGACTTTTTCTCTCTTTTTTTTATTTATATTATTGTCATAGTTTTTCACTTCATGAATTTAATAATCACTGACAATATATAGGCTCGACCAATAATTTTTCTTGAGTAATATAAACTATACAAGGAAGTACTTCCGGCAATGCATGCTTCATGATTCATATAAGAGAATTACAAAATTTACATGAAATATATATTGTCAGCTTGAATAGTTTTATTAAGGATATACATCTATAGCTAATTATTTTATAATATGGATCTAGCTAGTGATCATGAATCACAAGATCAATAAAGAGTTCAGTATGATTAATAAGTTAGAACAACTGTCCATGTGTGAACATATGAGACAAGTATAGATATTTACATGAAACATGTGAGTACTTATTGACAACACTAATTATTGTAAATTTAATATTTTCAGCTCATCAAGAAGCATTGAAGAGAGAAATAGAGAGACTTCGACAAGTATATCATCAACAAAGCCTCAAGAAGATGGAGAATAATGTCTCCGATCAATCTCCGGCCGATATCAAACCGTCCGTTGAGAAGGAGCAGCTCCTCAATGTCTAAAGCTGTTCGTTCATCAAGATCTTATTTCTTCATGGCGAAAAGATTCTTGACTATAAAACCTCTTTGTGTCAGGAAATTAATTTATCAAAGAAGAAGACCTTTTTTTTATTTATTTGATCTAATCACATTTTTTTAAGTTGTGATGAATTTGCTTTTGATGTATCTGATTTTTTGTTTTTTTCTTGGAGTGGGAGGGGGAAAAGTTGGAATGATATGTAAAAAGAACTTAGCTGATTTGTTGTTTATTCAATTTTTTGTTGGAGTGTCTAAGCATTTGTGTACTAATTGGTATTGAATTTGTTTTTTCTTTCATCATTTTATTAGTCAAATTTAGGGTAATCGAATAGTTAAGATTCCCTCTTTTCACATGGTTCAAATTTTGATGTTTGCCATTCATCCATATAATAAGAAAGTATAAAAATAATTTATACTTGTTTCTAGTGACAAAAAGAACAATATTTGTGAACCATGAAATGTTAACACATAGTTTCAAGATTAATATTTGAAGTGACTGAAAGCGATTTCTCAATCCTTAAAAACTCGTACGAAATTACTAAGAAAAAGCCAATTAATTATGATGATTTATTAATATATTTTTTTGTTAAAGGATTTAATATGTTCAATCAGATTTCTTTCAATTTTTATTTTATTTTAAAACAAGTGAAAATGTAAGATGTCATATTAGTAGCCAATGTAGCCATTTCCTTACGTAGGGCCTGGACATGTAGATGATGTCATATAGGATCTAGATGATATATATATATATATATACATACATGCAACTAATAGTTAATACAAAGACATCACGAATATCATAAATTGTGGAATTACAGACAAAATAAAAAGGATTGATGAGTTTTAATTTATATGAATTAAAACCTTTATGAGAAATTAGGGTCAAAGTGGGTCAAAATATGAAAATGTGGGGTGAAAAAAGGGAAAGAAAAGGGAGAACGTGGAGACATCTGAAGGCTAAGCTGTAAGTTCACGTGCTATGTTCCTTGGCCTGGACCACTACGGTCTCGTTGCTACATGATTGGCTTTGTTTCTTTTCTTTTTTTCATTTTTTTAATTTCTTAACAAAATGTAAATAATGTTTTAACCAAACAATTTATCTATTAATTTGTTTTCAGAGTTAAAGGAGACAGTCAAAGTTAATATGGTTGAAAGAATAAAGTTACAGAGGAAAGCTACAAAGTAGGAAGTTTAAATTTAAGAGGATTAATTATAAAAAGAAAATTTGAAGAGGATAAAGTTTTAAAAAGACGAGAGGTTTAGTGGTCTTGTGTTGGACCTGTTGGGATATGTAGGAAAGCGAGATGTTGTCAGTTTCAGTGTTTTAACTTATGTCAGTGCCAATACCATTTCACTCCTCTCATTGGGCCTTATATACAATTTTTTATACCTTTTCCTTCAGTTTTCTTCTCATTATTTATCCTTATATTTTCCTTCCAAAGAATGGTACACTCAACCATTCGTCACAATCGTTATAAGTCTAGATTAAATCAGTTTGGAGCTGTTCATCAGAGGTATGTTAACAAATCTCAGAGATGATTAAATGTTTAGTGCTAATTAAGACTTGGCATTGATCACATCACAACCGTTGGTTACATTTCCTAGAAAGAGATAAAAAGAAGAGATTCGATTCGATCATCATTTGTCTATCATACAAAATGAGGATGCTAAATTGATGCTTGTTCAAATGACCTTCATAACCTTCACCGATCTGCAGAAACCTACAGGCCACAGGGACAAAAAAAAAACGAGACAAATCAGCAATATAGGCAATATAGTGATGAGACAAAAACAAAACAAAACTAATAAGCCATAGCGGGGAAATTAGAAGATTACCAAGTATTGGTGGATATATTAATGACACAGAATATTTTGAGATATTTAGAATCTTATGCATGTATACTTCAAACATTCCGAGTCATTACAAAATTTCTACTCATCTACTAAAATCGATTTTCTCCATTGTGTATCTCACTCTCACTACTCATATGATATACTCGGACATCACCATAATTTTGGTTTTTGAACATGTAAAGAGTGGATTCAAGATTCCTCTATAATGAATGTAGGGAGCGAATCAAACGTTCTAGTCACCAATTCAACAAAACAGGGTAAAGTTATGCTGGAATTTTCAATAAAGGAGAGTAAAGTACCTTTAGAGCATCTCAAGTTTCTTCTGTAGCAGCTTCTTCTGTAGCAGCAGCAACTTCTTCTGTAGCAGCAGCAACTTCAGATGTCTCATGATTCTTGCTTTCCGAAAGTGTTTCTCTCAATATCTTCACTTCATTTTCATTCTCGATGAGTCTCTCGTTTAGCAATTCTACTGTCTCCATGTGTTCTTCAAATTTATTAAGCCACCGACTTTCAAAGTCCTCAATCTGTCTTTCTACTAGAGTTCGTGTCATTCTGTCTTCCTCTTCTTGCTTCAATCTCAGCTTTTCAATTTCAGTAGTGCACAGGACTAAACCTCCAGAACCTTTGACATCCTTGTAGACCGGTTTCTCATCACGCAAAGGGCAACGTTTTCTGTGCTCTCTTGATGCCTTTTGTGTTTCTTTCAAAGCCTTCCTATAACCCTCTACTACACTTGTCATCATGCGAAGCTCACTCTCAAGCTTATAGATCATCATATCTTTTCTCTGTTGCTCCTCAAACTTGGTTCTTTCCAATTCCTGAATCATTGCTGCCTTGCTTTGTAGTTCGCTCATCAGATACTGCTGGTTCATAACAGATTGTTCACGCTCTCGGTCTTTTTCAGCATTTGATAGTCTAGTTTTTTCAATCCAGTACACCATCTGATCCAAACACATGTCAACTGGGGGTGGTTTTTCATCCCAAGAAGGTTCTTCGGTCCTCAACCTCTTATTGCTGGGGTTATGAGAATTATAAGAAATATGATTCTCGTGTTCAATCTCCCTCTTGTTATTGCCATTCCCAAACAGAGAAGAACTACCTGAACCCATAGTCATATGCATGTCAACCCTAGAAGCAAGGAAATCACCACCAATTGAATTGCCATGAATTTGTAACCCAGAGTTATAACCTAACGGAGATGCATCTCCCAACATGAGATTCTCTTGGCCAACTCCCTGAAGGGAATCGCCATTTGGAAAAAAAGGAAACCCCTCTTCATGCTTTTCTGTATCTTCCTCATCCTCTTCCCCGACATCTTCAATTGGTTCATCTTCTCCCATTTCCATGGACCCTTCAATATGATTATCTTCGTCTTCCTCCCTAGCACTACTAAGATTGCAACGGCGAAGGAAATGAGAACCAGCATGAGTGTCTTCATTCCATGCCCACCTTTCATCCTCTTCTTTCTTATTTTCCTCAACATCCATTGGCTGTCCCTCAACAGGACCTCGCTCTTCCCCAGAGACCATTTCTGACACAGTCTCTTGCCCGAGATTCAATTCGATCATATGTTCTTCCACATACTTGTCTTCTTTCGAGTCGATGGCACCATCATCCTTTCCTGAATCTGCAGCACCAACATCTTCTTCCTTAACCTCCAAACAATCTTCTTTCGGAGATTTTACCATAAAATCAACCTCCTTTACATCGTCGTCATCATCATCATCATCCCCCTCATTATCCGCTTTACATTTTTCCTTTAGTAAATCTTCTTTCTGTGTTTTGATCAACAGCTGCAAATGAGAAGCAAAAAAACAATCACCAAGCAAAGGCTCCGCTTTCAGTTCTTTCTCAACCATGAACCAGAGCAATTTAGGCCAGTCTAACTTTTCCAAATGCTTTTGCTTTATATCCCTTGTCCATTCAACAATCTCTACAGGCATAATCCACATATCATCTCTCTGCAGTAGAACCCAAGTTGAAAGAATCTCATCAATAAACCTAACAGATTCATCGTTTTCCAGAAGTTCTCTCTCCTCCTCTGTAACAACAAAGTCTTTCTTCTTAGGCAACTTCAACGCTCGAGCCAAATCAGCACGGCTGACGTTAATCCTAGCACCATTTACATAGCTGCATCGACCCTCTGAATTATAATACGCAACAAGGTTCGCCACTAGATCCTGACGGATATTTTGATCAAACTCCAAATGCACAAAATCCCACAGACCTAACGTCTTCAAGAGTTTCTCATGCCGAGCAAAATCTAGGGTTTTACATGGAACGAAAGCAATGGGCTTCAAAGTTTTCAAAAGTACCTCAAGCTTCTCTTTTGACTTCTCTAGCTGCTTTCGTTTCTTCTGAATCCCTTTCTTCCGCTTCGGTCCACCCCCACGGCGGTAATAAGAAGAGCTTACGGCTTGCGTCGTGTCCATATCGTCCTCTTCGTTCCTACTTTCCTCAATCGAAGCTTCTAATTGCTGATCTCTACCGTCGGAATCCTCCGGATCCTGCAGATTCTGGGTTTCTTCGTCTTGTGTTGATTCTAAATTTAGGGCTTTTTCAGCGACATTCTCCAAGGAAATACTTCCTTGCTCTACTACGCTCGGCTTCTCGATTAAACTAGGGTTCTGCAAAAGAGCTTCTGCATCTGGATCGGTGGGATCTGACGACGGAGAAGAAGCCATTGCTGATTTTTTTCCTCGGAAAAGCTGAACCGAGTCAATTTGACGGTCGCGAGGACACAACTTCAAAGCCTTTCGAAAGAAAATTAACCAATCACAAAGAGACACGTCATCAATCCGAGCACTGAATTTACATTCGCCGGTATTAAAGAGCCTTACCCCAAACACTCATGGGCCGACATAAAGGCCCAATCGAGCACTAAAATCAAAGAAATTACATAATACACCCGAATCTTTTTCTTTTTCATGAAAAAGTACAAAATAGTCTCGAGTCTCTTCAGATTCTCTCTCGTCACTGTTAGATCTTTCATTTTCTCCGATACCTTTAACGGTAACTTTCTGGTGCTCACTTCCAAATCAGCGGTTATAAAAAAAATCCGTAAAACCTTCTTCGCAACACTACTTTGCTTGATCTTCTCTCTCTGAGGAAATGATTATGTCTCTCTCTCGTCTCTTTCTTCTCGCTGCGACGACGGCGATGTTAATGGTGGTTGCGACTGCGCAGATCGGCGGTCAAGTGATACAGGTGGAGTTGTGGTGTGTGGCGAAGAACAACGCGGAAGATTCGTCGCTACAGACGGCGATTGAGTGGGCTTGTGGTCAAGGCGGCGCTGATTGTGGCCCGATTCAGCAAGGTGGACCTTGTAACGACCCGACGGATGTTCAGAAAATGGCGTCGTTTGTTTTCAACAATTATTATCTGAAGAACGGCGAGGAGGACGAGGCTTGCAATTTCAACAATAACGCTGCTCTTACTTCACTCAATCCTAGTAAAAGCCTTCTTCTAAAATCTAAATCTTATATCTGTTAGGGTAGTAGAATCAGGATTATAATGATGATCTCTTGTTTAGAAATTCAAGTTTTAGATTTCAGTTTTGATACATTTTTGCATCTTGTTGAAGTAATTTTCCCCCAATTTTTGTTTGTTTCAGGTCAGGGAACTTGCAAATACCCTTCGAGGTAATCAATTTCAAACTATCTTTGAGCAATTTAGATCGATATGAGAGATGGTTATGTGATTTGAATTCTTCAATATCAGTTTTCTTTAGTAAGAGCTAATCTTGTTTTGGTAAGAATGGATTTGGTTCTTAGATTGTTCAGTACATGAATGGATGTCTTTGGTTATACTTACGTGATTCTCTGTGTTGCTTTGTTCACTGATGATCCACATCTCTATAACTTATCTCAACAATACTCTTTAAAATCTTATGATGTGCAGTAAGGGAGTCAACAATGGTCGAGTAGCGGATGACACTTCAACGGGTGCAGGACAAGCAGATATGAGCCGTGCTGGCAGACCGATTTCCAGCAGTTGGATTGCGACCTTCATCGGTTTCAGTAGCTTATTGACGATGACACGGATAATTCATCATCTTTAGGATTGCTTACACGCACACGCTCACTGATGATGAGAAGGATACTATTTTGATCTCTCCCAGTTTACCTTTGAAGATAAGCCTAATATCTAATTGTTTTTTTTGTCTGGCATTTGATTTTATTATAATCCATCCCACTGTGAGTGATTGAACATGTTTTGATTGCTTCTATGGGAATTCGTAGTGAAATTTCTTTCTCTCAACGAATATATAATGATGTAATGATGCATGTCATCAACCATAATTGGTTAATAGACATATAATGAGAAAGAGTGCTACGTAGTTTAAAAGGAATTTACCTGAGGAGGTGTGTGATTGACCACGATTGCGGGAGATTCAACAAGGTCATCCGTATCGCAGATGGATGCTGTACCAAGATACTCCTTATGCGCTTTTTCTAGTGAAACAATATATAACCTCAGATCAAGGATCTATACAGTAGATATAGTAAAAGAGAAAGAGTGTTAGAGAGTAATTATGAAAAGAAAAGAAAAAGTGTTAGAGAGTATATACATTACAGTTAGGTTTTTTTATTTGAAACTTTGGCTTTTCTTTCGTTATTGTAAGTTTGTAGTAAATCTTAAACAAAAATGGTAGTTGATTAGATGATTTCATTTTCAATTTCTTATAGAAAATCTGTATTTGTCTTTTTTTTTTTAAGCTTTAATTTTCCGTAAATATTGATTTAAAGTTCAAAAATCGAATAAAAGAAAATAAAATTAAGTCTGGTTGGCAAAAGATTTAGTCGATCCCGAATAGTTGTTCGCGTTGCCAAACAAAGTGTCTGGCTTTTATCTCCTGAAAACCTCCCGCCGCCGTACACTCGACACGAATAACGGTTGCCAAATCTCTTCCATCTTATTAGCCGAGCGACTTTCTCCAACTGATATTGGTGAGCCTTTTCTCGTCTCTTTTGCGATGTATGGTTTATGTGTGAACTGGACTTGCGGACGTTTGGGAATTAGGGTTTCTTCTGCTACTCTAATGCTAAAATTGTCGAGGACAATTTCACCATTCTCGTATAAGATTTAGGAGTTTATTTTGGGATTCGTATCTCATATCAAGATAAATCGTTTCTTTTCGTTCAATTCTGGATCCGATTATCGTATCTGCTACGAATGATTTTCCTTAATTTTGGTTCAGTCGCTGTTCGATTTTCTTCAAAAATCATTTAGTTCATTGGTTGATCACCATGTTTATCGTTTCTAAAATCTATATAACTATGTAAGATGCACTTGGTTCAAGAGATTCAGTGATTGAGCTTTTGTTGTTGACTCTGTAAGCTTTCTCTATACATTTTCCCAGAAGATAGCTCAAAAATGGACAACACTGGGAGCATAAAGCAAGAAGCATCGTCTCTTCCTCCAGGGATCTTCGAGATACCGGGGGAGCCTGCGGTTGTTATCAATGGTGTGCCTGATGAACCGCAAACAGATTGTATGATTGCCAAAGATGAACCAATATCAAATGGCACTGTAGGAAGCGGCGAATGGTTTGTGGGTAGAGAAGTTCGGAAGTTTTTCTTGGGTCACTACTATTCTGGTCTGGTGACAAAGTTTGATAAACAATCGGGATGGTACAGAGTTGAATATGAAGATGGGGATTCTGAAGATCTTGACTGGTCTGAGCTAGAAGAGGTGCTTCTACCTTTGGATGTTACTGTGCCACTGAGGTCAATCTCATTGCAGATCATCAAGAATCGACAAATACAGGCCCAATCTTATGGATACACGCCACAACGCTAGACCAAGAACTCAAACACAAAAGGGTCAGCTTATTGCGCAGAGTCAATATGGCGAAGGTTTACACTCTTATGGCGAAGAGTCAATATGGCGAAGGTTTACACTCAAACACAAAAGGGTCAGCTTATTGCGCACAGAAAGGTTTACACTCTTATGCCTTCAAATTGGAAACATTTGGATAGTCTTTTTTTTGGTGAGTAACATTTGAATAGTCTTTTGAAAATATCATCGCTTGAATATACGGTATTGGAAGACTTGTAGTATGTACTAGTGGAATCATGGGATAGTGGATACATTAGAGATGAAAACTTTTTTCTGTACGATTATCACAATTGCTAAACCAATTTTAGTAGATAAATAACGTTTCGTTTTAAATAGTCATATTTTCAAAATGAGTTTGACATATACGTGTCTCCAACTTTCCCTATTTCTTAGACAACATGTCTCTGTCTTGATTCTTTTCAAAAACAAATTATCTTTCACTTAATTCAAACCTTAAAAGACTCATTCCAAGACAGATGTAGAGTTTGCTTGTTGCACGACTCCTCGCTGTGATTCGTTAAGCAAATCAATTGTTTATACACTCAAATTATAACTCTGTTTGTGTATAAATGATGCAAGCACAACCACAAAAATGCAATCACAGTTTTCACACATAGCCTGGAAAATCAGTCGACTCTGCAGAGCAACGACCATCTTCCCAATGGCTAGCCTTCTTCTTACTCTATTCTCAGCTCTTCTTTTCGCGGCCACCATTACAGAATCCGAAGCTTACTCAACCACAGTGAAGGCACCGTATCCAGGAAATAAACCGGAGAAGCTAACCCACCTACACTTCTACTTCCACGACATTATCTCCGGAAACAAACCAACCGCCGTCCCAGTTGCTAGGGGTCCTGCAACAAACTCCTCTGCAACCAGCTTCGCTTTGGTTGCAATCGCTGACGATCCATTGACGATTGGGCCTGAAATAACCTCAGAGGAGATCGGGAGAGCCCAAGGGATGTATGCATCGGCCGACCAGAACAACTTTGGTCTGCTTATGGCTTTTAACTTGGTTTTCACCAAGGGTGAATTTTCCGGCAGCACCGCGTCGATGTATGGCCGGAATCCGATATTGTCGAAGCTGAGAGAGTTTCCAATCATCGGAGGTACGGGAGCATTCAGGTTCGCAAGAGGATATGCACAAGCCAAGACTTTTGTGTTCAATATTACCAGTGGAGATGCTGTTGTCGAGTATAATGTCTATATCTGGCATTAATTATTGGTTTTCACCACTTTTTGTTGAAAACCAAAAGAAATAAAAACTGGTGGAAAAAATGTTTTTTTTTTTGTTTGAATTGGTATTTGTGATTTTGGTGTAATTTATTGTAAGGAATTGTTATAAAATATCACCCTTTTGAAAATCTCATAACTTGTAGATGACATTAGAATCATGGAATAGTTGAAACACTAGAGATCAGATAACTTACTTGTTAGTTTGGTAATCACAAAATGCTAAAAACCAATTCTGGTAGATGAATTACGTTTTTGTTTTATATATAGTTATATTTTCAATGTGCTACAAACGTGTCTCTGACTTTCCCTCTCATTTTATAAAACATATCTCTCTCTTAATTCTTTTCAATTTTTTCATTTTTGTATGTTTCACTAAACTATCATATTTTATGAATAATTCCAAAGATTGGTTTGTTAGCATGTCGCCTCGCTAGTTGTGATTAACGATGAAAAAAAATCTATTATTTATTCATTTGTTCAATCAATAATTCTGTTTTGTGTATAAATTATGCAAACACACATTTTTCACAGCCTGAAAAATCAGTTGACTTTGTAGAGCAACAACCATCTTCCCCATGGCTAGCCTTCTTTAAATATAGTTATATTTTCAGTATGCAACAAACGTATCTCCCCTCTCATTTTATAAAACATATCTCTCTCTTAATTCTTATCATTTTTTTTTTTTTTTATATTTCACTAAACTATCATATTCCTCTAAGAATAATTCCAAGATTATGATCCATATTAATGGAGATTTGTTTGTTAGCACGTCGCCTCGCTAGCTGTGATTAACTAAGAAAAATCTATTATTTATGGTTCATTTGTTCTTCAGTCAATAATTCTGTTTTGTGTATAAATTATGCAAACACTTCCACAAAAGACGCATAGCCTGAAAAATCAGTTGACTCTGTAGAGCAACAACCATCTTCCCAATGGCTAGCCTTCTTCTTGCTCTGTTCTCAGCTCTTCTTTTCGCGGTCACCATTACAGAATCCGAAGCTTACTCAACAACAGTGAAGGCACCGTATCCAGGACATAAACCGGAGAAGCTAACCCACCTACACTTCTACTTCCATGACGTTGTCTCCGCAAAGAAACCAACCTCCGTCGTAGTCGCTACGAGCCCCACAACAAACTCCTCTGCAACCGCTTTCGGTATGGTTGCAGTGGTTGACGACATATTGACGGTGGGGCCTGAAATAACCTCAGAGGAAGTTGGGAGAGCCCAAGGAATTTTTGCAGCGACCGACCAGAATAAGTTTAGTCTGCTTATGGCTTTCAACTTGGTTTTCACCAAGGGTGAATTTTCGGGCAGCACCGCGTCGATGTATGGCCGGAATCCGATAATGTCAAAGGTGAGAGAGATGCCGATCATCGGAGGTACGGGAGCTTTTAGGTTTGGTAGAGGATATGCGCAGGCTAAGACTTTTACGTTCAATACTACCAGTGGAAATGCTGTGGTCGAGTATAATGTCTATATCTGGCATTAATTATTATCGACTGCCTAGTGCTTTTCCATTTTTACGTGACAAAAGGAACGTTTTGGTTGAATAAAAAAAGTAAATGAAAGGTTAGTGGAATAAATGGTTTTAGCTGTTGAATTGATATTGTGATTTCGATGTATTTTATTGTAAGAAATTGTGGTAAAAAGTTGTATTTTATGTGGTGAATTGTTGTGAAAATTATAATCTATTGTGTTTCAAAACGATATCAACTAATGATGATATTTCACCAGTTTCATGTAGTTTAACATTTAAGGTTTTGCACACATTAAACTTTTTGTTTTACAAAACCTAATTAATATACATACCTTTATCATATGATTAAGTGGTAGTTGTTTTATTTATGTTAACTCCAGCTAACAGGAGCTAGAAAATGCTACGCATATTTTGCATACGACATAAAAAAATATTTATGAAACAAATGTTTTTCTAAAACATCAATTATTAAAAAGAGACAGGAGTATATATTAAAATAATTACTTTTTTAGTATAATGTTGCGTCAAAAAATTGCTTATCAACGAGTTTTGGGATTTATGAAAACGCAATTGTGGATCTCCATCAGACTTCAGAGTTGTGACCGTTATTGATCAACTTTTGTTTTGCTTTGATGGCCGAGTAGAGCATGCATTGTGGGGATCTTAAGATTTGATGGATTGTCATTTAATTGTATTGGGCTTAAGCCCATTAAATCTGATCTTTGAAAAGCCCATTGACTAAAATCTAAGGAAACTCTACGGTGGTGTTATTCAATGATGGATTTTAATAGAATTGAAATCCAACACTAATCCAGTGTTATTCAACTAATGATTATAAATCTAACGTTAAAATCTAGTGTTATTAGATCTTATACTTCATTAGATTTTAAAAGTTTGGTGTTATTCAATGGTGGAGTTAAAGTCAATTCTTTAAGGTTTGTAAAATCCAGTGTTATTCAAAACTAAAAGACTTGTAAAATCTTTGTATATTAAGTCATTTGAAATGAAACCTCTTTGGAGTTTCATGAGTAAATTATTAGAATCAAAATCCAAGATATACTGCAGAGATTTTGAAATCCACACAAACAGATTCTTAAAACCAATATCAGAAAACAAATCTAAACCTTAAAGAATTGACTTTAACTCCACCATTGAATAACACCCCCTACATGTCTTGCGGAGCGCTTCTAAAGAGTCACGGATTTACAAATTGTACAATTTTTACTTCTTTTTTTTTGTCCTAGGATTATTTTCAATATTTTAAGAAAATTTTCCTTTTCTTTTGTTTATTTTATATTTCTAGATCATTAAAAAAATTTGGGTTATGGTCGGATCGGACCAGTATATCGAATCGATTTAAAATAATTTTTACGTTTACGTTATGAAAAAACTGGAGTTAACCGTAATTTATGTCCAGTGTCTACTATTACTAACAGAATGATAAAGAAAACAAATGAAATTGACAAGAGGTCGGGAGACATGTATGACATCATATATAATATCTAGAGAAAGCTCCCCCACATACAAGTAACATCGTCAATGCAATATCTGAAAAGATGCTCTCTCCATTTATAATAATTATTTAAATCGTGGTCCGTACAAAATGTTTTCATAAAATCAATACTCATCTAGCTTTCAGACAATAACAATATATATCATTTTTTAAAAATATTATTTTTTTTTTTAAACGATATATATCTTCAACCCACTAAAATGGTAGTAGAATGATTTTGTTCAAGTGAAGAAGGCTAATTTTTATAAGCATCTAGTTTTCAAAGTATACGTTATATTAGGGTCTATGTCTAGTTTCCGAAAATGGTATCTGCATACGATTCTGTATATTAACATTGATTGTGTATAACTGTATATAGAGGTAGAATCTAGAGTGTTTTAAGTTTAACTATGAAAAGACATTGGTGGGCTCATGTTCTTTACCTTCACTTACATTGTTGTATAATAATTTTTTTTTTTGTTTTTATTGCTCTTTTTAATCTGTTAAAATTCATTTAGCATCATAAAGTAATTTTGGTTACATGGCTACATGCTATGAAAGGGACACGATATGTTTAGCTAAAATCTTGCATGTGCGTACAATACAGAGCTGTTACTTAATAATGATTTAATGTATTGCAATTATAAGCTAACCTAGTCCGGTCCGTTCATGATAGCTGGTCATGCAGACCGGGCTTGCATTACATATAATTTACTTCTCTGACTAGATTGGATCTACGAGATCAAGTAATATATGTTTTAAATGTTTGGATATTGGAGATACAATTAATCTTGTTTGAATACCATAATATATATATGATTATACCATTTTGATACCATAGATAGTTTTTTCTGCATGGAGAATTTCATCTCTATTAGCACATGTCTTTTCAATTTAGTTTTGAAAGAAATTAAATAGATGAGTAATGTATGAAAAGGTATAGATAGATATAGAATAGATAGATAGATGGATGGATGAAAGAAGAGCAGTGGTCCAAGTGGAGGAGTTGCATCTAAGAAAAGGAGGAAATGAAGCAGAGAAAGTGAGAGGTAATGGTCCCTTCACCAAAAGCCATTTAATCTGTGAAGCATATATATGACTATGACTTTAATGGCAAAGCAAAGGTGTTTGTAACCAAGTGTTTGCTGTTAGGGTTTCTGAGCTTTGTGGGCTTTTAAGGCCTTGTGGGGTTCAACTCCATTCACGGGGGCCACCTTTGTGTGATTTTGTTTGGTTTACAAATTTATATGTTTTTTTTCCGTCGGTTTGTCTGAAAATGTGTTATTCCTATAGTATTTTGTAGTAGCCTAGCTAATTTGTAAATGATGGTCTTTTTCTTCCATCTAAATTTTCGTTAAGATATTTTGGATGGAATAGAAAACCGACGGATGTAGAAAACAATCTAGAAAGATAAATGATGGTCGCAAAAGAAAAAACAATTAAGTTTAAAAGTTTTCAGTAATGTAATTAAATAATGTTAAGTTTATATTAATGGCTAGACTAACTAATTTAATGCCAAAAGTTTATTAAAAGTAGAAACTGAAAAACTAAACAAAACTTTTAGATGATCACCCAACAAACTAAAAAGTACGTGATATATGTAACAATGTCTAATATAATGCTTCAAGAGATATTCAGTTTGATTATAATGCATAGTACATAAAATTGATTAGACCTTTAAAACCTCTAGACTAAAACCTTATTCAATCTCTTCACCAACATGTCTCATCTTAGTCTACCTCACATTAATATAAAGGAACACTGTTATTTACGATTCTGTTCATCAGCTAAAGTCCACCGAGATACTTTCTATGCGCGCAGCTAATACATGAATCACACAATCCATCAGATCTATGCAAGCAAATTGTGTTTTTTGGTTTCTCTTGAAATTTTATCAAGCATACATTTTGATATGGTTTGCTAAGATTTACTAGCAATCTTCTCTTGTCTTCATGCTTGTGCTCTCGATGTAGACTAAATTGGCGCATTATATTTGTTTTATATACAGTATTTTATAATTATGTATTTGAATGATATATAGACTACCGACGGAAACTTAAATCGAGACTTAAATTTGTTTTATAGCAGATTAAATATTTTCTAAATCAAAGTTGCTTTATTTTCTTTATGTCATCATTCATGGAAACTTAATTACTAACTCAGATTAGTTTAAAACTTAAAATTTGTATAGAAGTTTTATGTATATAGTTTGATGATTTTAATACATGACGATGATAACAACACACAAAGACTTTCAATTTATTGATGACATCAACACTGAATGAACAGCATGTAAGGACAACTTCTCTCAACTGTCTCACAAAAAAAATTTGTGCTTCTCATACGTTTTTAGTGGCTAGAAAACTCGGATTTTTATGGATTCCAGAGATTAGTCTAGACTTCGGTCTGGAATTCTCCCTATTAACAAAAAAAAGAGAGAGATGAAAGAAGTAAAAGCTGGTTCTTAAAAGAGAATTCTCTACGACCTATAAATAGTAACATCCGGGTACATGTAAGCAAATGCGTGTTCAGAGAGTGGTACACATCTACCTTCACGTACGTTCGTAATGAACCCATTTCCCTAATAACTTGCACCTAGTTTTTTTTTTCTTTTTTCTTAGTTACTTATCATAAATTTACCATGACCCAGTTTCTGCTCCATAAGTGTTGTATCCGTTTCATTAATTCTCGGGATATTTTTTTTTTGAAATTATATTGTCTTTATAAAAAAGTTAACAATAAGTTGAAACAGGAGGCTTGTCTTTCATTTAGAACAAACGTTGTCCAGGAGTTTTAAAAGAGCGACGATATCACAAAATTTGTTTCATTAGTGGATTAATGTTACCTCTTTTTTTTTTTTTTTCCTGCAGTGGATTAATGTTACCTCATGATAATATTAACATACTCAAATTTTGTGTGTTTTTATTTTTAATAATATTATTGTAATTTAGTATTATTGTAATTTTAATTAATATTAATATAATATTTAAACTCATGCATTATAGAACTTGCTAGATAGATAATTTTATTTTATGATTTATTAAAAATTATAAATAATAATATATAAATTATTTAATTAACTTTTTAAACTATTATGGATTTGATTTATCATAACAAAATCTGAATCATTTATGAAAAGACATGTGAATAGATCATCACTGCAAGTTCAATATTTCGATTGCAAATTCGAGAACCGAGTATAGTTAGATTCCCCGTCTGAAAATCTAACAGCACCATATATATACATAGTCGGGTGACATTATATTGTTTCTCCCAATACCTTTTCAATTCTCTAGATAAAATGCTAAATCGATTATACGTGAACTGATTTGAAAACCAAAAGAATTCTAATTTGGTTACGTTATAGATCCTTCAAAAACCCTAATCCATTAGACCAAGTCCAGCAAGGGTTTTTAATGGGTTTCTAAGATGGGGTTCTAAGAAGAAATGGGCCCAGATGAAAGAAAAACAGATCAATTCATTTAGGATCGTTCCCAAAAATGGGATTTTCGCGATCCAATAGAAACTCATACGTGTCTGTTTTTTATTGGGTAGAGGTTGTTGACAAAAAAAAAAAAAGCGTTTTATTTTTCTTCTTCTTTCTCTTTTCTTCTTCGGGGTCTCCGTCGGCGACACCAAACGCTTCAGTTCGTCGACGCCGATTTAGTGTTTTCTTCATGAAATCAGGACAGATCATCCACCTAAACGACTGTTTCAACCACTGGGATGATGATCGAGGAGGAGTTTGTTCCCCAAATCGATTCTTCAAACCAAATCAAAATCGTGGATCCAAATCGGAGACGAAATCGGTGACAATCGGAGACGAAATTTGACTACAGATCTTGCTCAATAGAGCTAAAGGTTTCTCTTGTTTGATGCTTAGTAAAAAAACTGCAATTCTCATGGAGAAGCCTCTGTTTTTTATAGTGCTTAGGCAAGTATAGAGACTAGTAACTGGAATATTGTTAGATTGGTTTATGCATTTCTTTTGTGGCTTTTGATGAACAATTGGTCCATATGCCATTATTTTCGGTTATATGGTCCTTATGTGACACATTACTATTAAGTGTTTCTTTCTCATCTAAACGTTGAAGAGTAGTTTGATTGTTGTATTGACCGTTAAGCATTTGTACTCTTACTGAAATCTTGGTTTGTGTTTTTGTTCAAACTTCAAATAGATTGGTTTGTGTTCTGTTCTAAATGAATTTTAACTTCGTTTTAAGGATGATGTCCCTGTCGAGATGCAAGAGTTCAAGGAAGCATAAATAGCAAGTACATGCAAGTGTTTGTTCTGTGTATAAGTGTATAGGCTATGGTCGTGTGAAGATGCACTTGAGTTTGTGTGTCAAATTTTGTGAGTGTATCAAGTTTTGAGAGCGTAGAGTCTGTGTCAAGTTTTGAGAGTCAAATACTCAAATGTATCCCAAACACTTTCACATTTTTTTCAAATGTTTATATTTTCATAGAGGTTAAAATTTAAAAACCCTTAAATTTCAAATCTAAGTAATATTAACAATTTGAAATTTATTATTTTTTATTTATTTATTAGAAACCCACTTAAGGATTCCTCTAATGGACCAAAATTTTTTCAAAAACTCTACAAAATCTCTAAACTACAAAACTATCAAAATGAATTAATAAAAAATACATAGAAACCTTACTTAGAAACTAACCAATGTGGTTGCTCTTATAATCTGAAAACGTAAAAACCAAACTGAAACATATATTACTAAAATGTTTTAGTAAAAAATTTTTTGATCAAAAACTTAAGATGAGTATCGAAAAGAAAACTGTACCAAACTAATATGTACTAGATTAGGTTAAAAAGCTATAGCTTTCTTTTCAAAATCGAAAAAGTGAAAATCTCAATGAAATTGAAATTGAATATTCGTAGTCTTAAGTGCACTTGTTGGAAATTAATAAGAAACAAAAGTAGATAACACAGGAACCAGGCGGAACAATGGTTTTGAAGGAAAGTTGTTTGTTGGAAAAATGAATATACAAAAAAAAGCTAATATATTGTATTTTATTCAAGGACTTATTTCCTAAATCTAGAAAAAAGCACAGTGACATTTTCGTAAATTAGTGATTTTTTTTCCGGACAGTATCGTGTAATCAGATAAAATTACGCAAAACAAACTACCATATTTGTGATCCATCCACTTTGCAAACTAAAAAACAAAATATTGTTATTAGTGCTATTACTTTTTTTAAAAAAGAGAGTAGTATTTTCTCGGAGAAAACTAATACTTAAGTAGCAATTTATCGAATATATTTGTCGTCTAAGTCAAGCTTTCACATCCGGCTATTGCACATTCACCCCAAGTTGATCCTGGATCATCATGCATTATAGATCCATATTCTTCATCGGACAATCTAACACAATTTATTTCACACCGTGGGTGGTAAAATTACGACTTTTACATTTGAATAATTCATCACTCTTAAGAGAACATGGATAAGCTATCAACCTTTCTTTTGCTTTGATAATTAGAAGTTATCAATCAACCTTTCTGACAAACAACAAATAGAAAATTTATGAATTGCCATAAAAAATGGGAACCAACCAGTTTTATATAAACGTTGCCTATCTCTCTAAAAAGCAGTCGGCCTCATAACTCTATATCACTCATTATTTCCATCTCTCTATTTCTCTCTCTATGGACGAGGCTGCCAGAGAAACCGAAACTCAAGATTTCATGAACGTCGAATCCTTCTCTCAGCTTCCTTTCATTCGTCGTCCTAAAGATAAGAACCCTAAACCCATTCGTGTCTTCGGCAAAGATTTCACCGGCGGAGATTTCTCTAGTACCACCGGTCAAGAAGACTACTCCGATCCCTACCAGACCAAAGACAAAAAACAAGAAGAAGAAGAAGAAGAAGACCAAACCGGAGATAACAGTAACGACAATAATAGCATCAGCAACAACAGGAGATTCGAGTGTCATTATTGCTTTAGAAACTTTCCTACTTCACAAGCCCTAGGTGGACACCAAAACGCTCACAAACGCGAACGCCAGCTCGCCAAACGTGGTGTTCCCTCTTACTTTTATCATCCTGACAATAACCCTTACAGTTACCGTCATTACCCTTCGTGGACCAGTGGTCCATTAACAGCGGCTAGGTCCTATGGAGGATATGCTTCTGGTCCTCAGCTGTCGGCGTATTATACACGAACGAGCTATGGGAGTCAGTTAGGACTATGGCGTCTACCGCCTCGAGTTCAAGGCGTTTATAACTCAAACGCAGCGTTGACTAGTAATGGCTCTTCTTCTTCTTCTTCTTCTAATTCGACTTTACCGTTGTTGGCCGGTTCTCAAACCCAACTACCATCTCAAGTGGGTGGCTCCGCTGCTCAGAACAGAATGTCATCGTACCGGTACGGATTGAGCTCTAACGTGCAAGATCATGTGAGTCTCGATCTTCATCTTTAAAGATTTGAAAACAAATTAAAACTCGGAGTGTTCATGTAACTTAGTGAAAGAGAAAACTCTTAAGTTATTGAGTGTTACGTAACTTTAACGATTCAACATCTTATAACATATTCCCCTTATTGAGTTGAGTGTTATGTAACTTAGTGAAGGAAAAAATTCACGCCGTGTTTATGTTTCTAAATAAGAAACGGCACGATGTGTAAGATTCACGTATTTTATTTTGGTTAATGTTACGTTCATCGTTCTTTTTGTTTTGTTTTTCCACAAGTGCTTAAATGAAGGAAAGGAATTTACCATTTTACGTGTCCACATTTATTGTAGCTTCGAAACTATATTGTTTGGGGTTCAGTGAAATTGTCAGTCATTAGACATAGTAGTACTTATAGTTACTACTACTGAGTATTTAATTATAACCACAATGACTCAGATTATTTATTTATTATTTTTTTTTGTTAAAAACTCAGATAGAATTTCGACGAAAAAATCATAGAATGATTGGAATCTTTACTGTACTAAACTAACAAGTAACAAATACAAATTAAATACAAAAATTAAACCGCTTGAGTACAAATCTTTTACAAGGGTTTGAAACGAATCTAATGGACACTGGACTCATCGCCATGTCCTGGAAACAAATAAAACTCAGGATGGGTAATAATAAGCTTATAGACGACGATGATGATGATGATGATGATGATGGTGATGATGATGATGATAATTTGGTAATTGGTGTGCGTGTGGGTAAGCGAAGACAATGGACAAGACAAAAGGGTAGAGAGAGACGACAAAGTGACTGAAGTGGTCCATAAGTACACAAATGTAGAGTTTGCGATAGAGCTTTCTCATCTGTCCTTAAATGTTACTATTCTCTTAACTTGCAACTTCGAGTAAAAAACATAAAGAAGAAGCTAAAGCAAAGCAAAATTCCTCAAGCTTTCTACTTTTGTGTTATTTCTTAACTTTTCTTTTAGGCAATCCAAAGAATCAACAACCTCTATATATATCGCAATCAATGACCTTGAAAAAGTTGTGATTCACATACCGTAAACTCCGCTTAACATGTTGCCAAAGAGATTGAGTATGACGGGTTGGTCCTGTTACATTTAAAAGGACAGATACAAAACTACTAATGATATCAGAGAATGGCAATGACCCAAAATGGTTTTCGAGACAAAATATGGGAAAATCCTTGTACCTAATCAACCATGTATATTATTTTTTTTAATGTTAAACTATCAAATCAAAACATAAATATAGATGACAACGTAGCTAGGATTTTGTTTAGGCCAATGATCCAGAAGAGCATACGAGTTTCCACATTTGGCAAGACTTTAATCAAAGAATATCAGAAGCATTAATTCACAACTTCCACCAATATAATGCACTATGCAACAACTTTGTGATGGTTACATATATGCTTTCTTATATAGAAGTAAGCAAATCTGATTTAATCAAGTCTCCTATGAAAGGAAATGGAAAATGATATGCCAAAACGACATATTAGACACTCTATTGGGAAAATGCAGGTAGATGCAACATCGCAAAAACTCTTGCTTGTACTTTTTCTCTAACAAAATAATTGTCTTTAAACACTGTAGCATGATGGCTAAGATATAACTAACATTAGCAATACCAATGCAATATCAGTGACACCAACCTAAAAGCTATAGATAAGTTTGAGAGGCTGCAGAAAGCGACATTGCGATTTTCCAGCCTGATGAAGACTTTAGTAGCGGAACAGTGTCCATCAGTTAAACAGGGAAGGGAACAGATGGTGCAACTTCAGCCTGTAGATCAAAAGAGAAGTGATAAGGTTTTCCAGATAAATTTTATGGACACGTTTCAACATAAATTTTGCAATAAGGATGTTTCAATTGTCACCAAGAGTACGTACGTAGTAACAAAACAAAAATACAGAGAGAATTAAAAGACGTATCTGCCCTCCTGGAACAGTTCCTCAGCTACAAACAAACAATACTAGTTGAGAATTAGACGAGTATTGTTATCAGATAGTAGGAAGTTTTTGGAAATACTGTCAAAAGAGTTAACATCAGTAGCAGACTAGCAGCTAAAAGGTGACCCACCAGTTACTGCAAATAAGAAGGAAGCATGTGATGAGTGTACAAGGTGATAAAAAAGAGACACAAGTAAAGACATTGCCAAAATCTTATAGGACCACTTTTGTGCTCAGTTGTTTTTTTAAGATATGCAAAGAACTTGGTAGAATCTGAGGAACAGTGGCCCATACCCTTAGGAAAAAAAAAGTTGCAAAACTGAGGATGATAGTTCGAACAGTACATATCTCAGAGCACTAACTGACCGTTTTGGGTAGTAAAGTTAAAGGTTAAAGCAAAGACCATGTGGTTGGATAATTGAGAAATGACTGTTACCTTCTGATTCCTAAGTTTCAACATCTTTATGCTTTGTATACTTTCTTTTTATATGCTCATCTTTTGGTGATGTTACATCATAATTTGTAAAAGGTTACATCAGAACCATAGAATAAAGAGACTAGCAACCATAATAGCCGAAACTGAATGAATATATAGGTAAAGGTAGCTACCGAGGCTCATTTAGTTCCATGACTGATTTTAACGTGGCCTATGAAGATAACTATAGTGTATCAAACAATTGCAGCATTAAGACCTAGACAGGGTAAAGACACAGTGTTAGAGACAATGGAGTTATTGTATATATGGATCTGGTTCTCACATAATGCAACTTGATCGATACAAATAGAAAAAGAGATCTCATGATCTTGAAAATCATTGCAATTATGCTGCACAGAAGGAATGTAGGTACATATTATTGGCAACTGCATGACTTTACTTAAGCTAATCTTTCTGAGTTCAAAAAAGGTATGTGCCTCTTTGACATTACTAGGCAACAAAAATGTCCATTGTTATGAAGCACTTGAAGAGATATTGCTATGAGCTGATTGTTAGTTGAGAAAGATTTGGAATTGAAAGTGCTTAACCTACCATCTCCCATATTCATAAATTCAGGTGATTTTCTAAAAAATGGCAGATGTCTACAGTTAACGAAAGAACACATATAACACTTGTAACGCTACGAGCAAAAGGAAGGTTTTGCATTCTGTATAAACAGAGACAAGAAATTAATGAATCCGGTGGGAAAATGTGATATTAATGTGACTAATTTACAGGTGTAGTAGTTCTACAGTATATATGGCAGACCTTAATTTGTATTAACAGTAAGATTGTGAAAAGAGAACATGGCTCTTCAATTTTGTTACTAGCATGAGTAGAAAATTCAATGAAAGAAGTAAGTTTCTATATCAGAGGCCTTACTATTTACCAGACCATGACAAATAATCATAAATCTGAAGCTTCCGGACGTTTTACTTATCAAAGCATGATCATATCCATCGTAAATGTTTCTTACACAAGAAAACGTGGATGGGGCTAAGAAGAAACTCAATGCTAGACACCGTCAACAAACAAGGAGAAACAGCAGAATTATGACAACCAAAATTACTAAGGAAGAAGGCATTTCCCTAGAAGAACAGAGGTCTACTTTTGACATTTTACCCATACAGGTCCCTAAGATAAAAGATAGATAAGCATCAGATGAAGATAATGTAACACTTGACAATGAGACAATCCTGTGAGGTTTAGGCTAAATTTTGGTCGTTTCAAGTACCACTGTACTATCATCAACAAAGTTAGATTCAGCATTTTTCACTGAACACTTTCTGAAAACAGAGGGATTCCAAGAACTACTGCAAAACAAAATATTTCGAGATGATCGTGTTTTTTTTTACCTTCTTGCAACATTCTTTACTTGCTCAAATGGCTCATCTTGTTGGATATAGGATCGTATGAAGAAGATGAGATGCTTTGTGACCAAGAATGTCAAGCAGAGAATGCAAAAACAACTCAAGACTATATGAATGAGAACACATGATTACATGAAACCAGAAAAGAAACCTTAGGCGTTAATCTCTCTTCAAGACTATGTGACCTTCCAATAGCACAACAATGTTATAACTTGCATCACGCGCCAAGAACTCTATACCTAAAACTGCCTCTTATCCTTATAGCGGCTATAAACCATCACACAAAACATTAACATACACATTCAAAATTCCAAGAGGCGGCAGCCGATTCCAATCATGAATTTCAAACCCACGAAGCGGCCGGTTCAATCTAGAAGGCTAGTTTCTTGAATTTCAAACCCGGACCGAATTAAAATTTAACCGGTCAAATTGACCCATTCGCCGTTCCTTGCCAAATTCTGAAATCGTCGTGCTTACTGGTTTAGATGTAGGCCCATAAAAGCCCAATTAAATAGTTCTGTTTTCCTATTTGGGCCACCTAACTCCGGAAGTTCACACAAAATAATATCAAGTTCACGATTTTCTTAGGAATTTTGAAGCTAATTTCAAGAAAATTTCATATGTAAGGTCAATAAGGCCATAATTCATGATCGAAGGGAATGGCTTTGGCTTCTGCAACAATGATGAAGGCATCAATTGCATCAAGTTGGATCGTTTCGAAATCGAACCGTATCTTCTAATTTTGTCTTTTGCTATTTATTTCAAAATAACGTTTTCTATCCTTTGTCTCTTCTCTACTGATATTTTGCGGAAATTTCACAAAACTCCTTAAACTTTGTAAACTATACGAAACCAACACCCATACTTTTAGTTAACTCCAGAAACTACACATTAATGGATTGCACTTTAATGGATTTATACTATATTTCTGCCACAAAGAAATATAAGTTAAGTACTTGTATGAATAGAATTCTGCTACTTTAGTATAACTTAAAACTTTCGAATTTGTGGCAAACATCATTTTCTCAATTTTCATTTGCTACACCTTAGGTGAAAATACAAGAATACACAACAACTTTAGTTAACTTTATATTGTATTCATTATCAGATCATTAGTTCCAAATTTTGAAATGTACTCAACTTTTGGTGATTGTATCCATCGTCACAACCATGTATTACTTATAGACCGAGATATTCATTTGCGCAAACTCTAGAATTCACAAAATTTTTAAAAA